CTGTGGCAGCAGTGTTGCCGTCGCTGTCGGTGAAACCTTCGTCGCCCTCCTCGAGTTCGGTTTCGTCTTCAACCTCGCTATCCTCTTCTTGCTCTGCCTCTTCATTGTCATCCCCGTCCTCGTCCTCGTCCTCATCTTCATCTTCATCTTCGGTCTCACTGTCCTCTTCCGCGCTCTCAGTCTCTTCTGAGTCGTCACTCTCGTCGCCGTCTTCATCAGTTGCGGCACTCTCGTCTTCGTACTCATCGTAGTCGTTGCCATACACTACTTGGGGCGCGGGACCGTTAGGGTTGTTGGTGACCTCTTGCTCAACAAGCGCCTTGACTTCCTTCTTCTCAAACCAGTAACGGAGCAGTTTCTTGGGCTTGACGTCACGGGCAGCTACGTACTCGAAGATGGTGTGTCGCACTTCAAGCGGAAGGCCCATGAAGACGGGTGCGGCTTTATCATTGGCCATGGTAGACATTGAGGTGCAGGTGATGGTAGTGAAGATGAAGCTGCGTGGGTGTTGGAATGATTTAGGGCGGTAATGGAGGGGAGATGATTGCTCAGGTAAAGCTGCAGCGGTTGCCTAGTCGGGCGGTGGGCTTGTGCAGGGCTGCTGTGTAGCCAGAAAGCGCGTTGCCAGGGTCCAAGGCAAACGAGGCGAGAAAAGCGACAAGAGGGCGTGCCATAGTGTCGAGGAATCCATCATGACTAACGCGGTGCTGTGCGCTGCTCTTCACTTTCGCTAGATGCAGTCCATGCCGACCCTGACCTGGAGTCGCGCCTTTCCCCATAGCCGGACTGACGCGCTACGTCAGACCTTCGCGTGATTGGCTGCAGCCATGTTGGAACTCAAAGCAGCATGACCTCGCTTCCTGTCGCCTGCCTCTGCTCACATCTGAAAGCATTGTGCTTATCAAGCTTATGTACGATGATCAGGCACGCCATCGTACATGGACTGCCATATATGTCAGTGCTGCTGGCACCATGCATGTTTTCGCGTCACATCAGCTTGACCTTTCAATCAGTCTAGTGTATAGAACTACCTAATGGACACCAGTGTCGAGCGAAGCAACACTATACATGGCGCAAACAAGCCTGGTCACTATACCTGGTCCCCCTTTGTCACAAAACTCGAATTCCGCCTGCGTCTAGCCAATATCCCTTACCAACACGGCGTGGGCGGTCCAATCTCTGGACCCAAAGGCGAAATCCCCTATCTCGAGTTATCATGCCCGGGAGGTTCTTCCGAGATACTGGCTGACACCACGCTCATCACGAAAGAGCTCATCAACAGAGGCCTGCTGTCGATATGAATGCGGCGTTAATCGCCAGAGATATAGCCTACGATCTTGATATCAGAGCCCTGCTCAAAGATAGGCTCTTCTTCTATAATTCTCGAGAACGCTGGATCGATAATTATTACACTATGCGCGATTACGTCCTGGCCAAGGTGCCCTTTCCGCAACGTATCATTCTCGGCTACCTAGCTTACCGGGGCATTGTGAAGAAACTGCAAGATCAAGGTACCGGTCGTTTCTCGAATGATGAGGTTCGCAGTTTCCACATGGATATCTGGCAGAGTGTAAATGATCTGCTTGAGGACAGCCAAAGATAAGCTGATGATAACGACTGCTTCTGGACACTTGGAGGCCACAAGCCTACTGAAGCCGATGTCACTTTGTTCGGATTTACCGTCAGCGCGCTCATTGCGGATGCTGGGCCGAAGAGCAGAGAGTTAATCAAGACAAGATGCCCCGCGGTAATTGACTATGCTACAAGGATTCATCGTCGTTACTTCCCGAATACCACCTGTGGGAGTAGGCCTTACTGTTCTTGGCGCAGTATTAGCATCGATCGCCTGTGTTCTTACCTCGTCTGTCTAGGATAGCAGTAAACATAACGAATGATGGAGCAGCAGCACCTTTCTGCTACTGCTCGCCATCTAGCCACCGTGCACGTCGATTCCAGAGTATATAATCCCGTCTTCTGGTCCTCATCCTCCATTTCTCTCACATCACAACTCACCCCAGCAACTCTACCCAATCCATCCATCGAACATCCATACCCAAGTCTACTTCGGTATTCTCCAGGACCTCTACGCTATTCGTCTGTATAACAGCGTAACTTGGTATCCTCTGACCACGCTCTCCACTATGCGTCTCACTACTAGCGTCATCGCTGGCTTCATCGCTGTCAGTGCCGCCACGCCAGCCGGTCTGACAATCCCGTCGACTCCAACCAGTGGCTCCGCGGATGCTGTTACGGCCCGATCCACCCCTGTAGATGGCAACTGGCACATCGGCTGCGACGCGAACAACTACTGCTCCTACTATCAGGACAGTGATATCGCTGCTGAATCGTCTGCCGACTCTTTATCGTCTCGCACCATTACCCTGTCGGAGGCTACTTGCAAGCAATGTACAAGTCAAGACCCTTGCGATGTATGATGCTCTACTCTCCCGTCCATCGATATACAGAGCCCTTACTGACTTTGACTGGTAGTATTGTGACCATTCCAAATTCAGTTGCCGAGACTGCGATCACTACCAATGCGAAGATGGATATTTGCGCTATCAAACACATTGCTTCGATATCCAGCCAGAGCTTGCTGAGGCCATTCGCAACAACACAGGCGTCACTGATGTCCCAGGCGTCACAGCCACCATCTACGAGACCGCTACCAGTACCAGTGTTGAGACCAGTTCCATTGTGCTGCCTACGCCAACTTTCGATTCCGCCATCACCATCACAAGTACGGCCGTCACAAACACGATCACACACATGATCTTTCCCCCGAGACACAGTGTACTGGCCCCTCGCGATGGAGTAGCTTCCAATGACGTCGGTAGTCAGCCACCTGTTCGTCGCAATGCTGCATTCAAACAGTCGCAGTGTACGCCCTGTGACGCATTGACCTGCCCAGTATGTTGATTGTTCCGGAGACCCTAGTGTTACATGATGGCTTGCTAATTCTGCTTTGCTTAGGAATGTCACAACGACTGCGCTGAATGTGAGAAGTTCGTGTGCAACGACTTGGCTGCTCACCTGACCGTTTGCATGAGCGTTCGTTCGAGGTGGCAGCCTCCCAACTTCAATATCTCCGCTTCAGCACCAAGCGAAACAACAACTGTTGTCGTTATGCCCCAGCCAGGAACTACAACTACAACGCAGACCGTACTTTACTCAACCTCCATCTCGACAATTCCTCCTCCCTCGGTTTCCACAGTCACCATATCGACTATACCCTCACCTCCAGCTGTCACGGTTACTGTATCTGCCCCTCCTGCTAGTACCACCACTGTTGTCGTAGTCCCTCAGCACCCCACGACCATCACTACGACCATCGTTTCGGTACCTCCGGTTTCCCCTAGTACCGTCACTATATACTCCCAGGCTCCGCAGAACAGTGTGGTCGTTGTAGCTTCTCCCCGCCTCCAAACCAGTACTGTGACAATGATTCCTCAACGTCCTCAACCCAGCACTGTGACAGTAACTCGTCAGCGTCCTCAACCCAGCACCGTCACCGTGGAAAAGCCGGCCTCCACCATCGTCTACCACTATCAGGATCCAGCTTCCACCGTTGTCGTACAGCCCCCAACCGTTACTGCTTCGCGCTCCCCGTCTGTGATCGAGATTCCTATGACCATGATCACAACCGCGACACATACGGTAGCCAGATCAGTTCGTGCGGTACATACTCCTGCGCCTATGTCTTCTCGTGATATTGCCATGGCCAAAACAACTTGCAACATTTGCGACGGTAACACGGAGTGCGACGTAAGTCAACACATCGCTTTCCGCGTGCTCGCAGAACTCTCGACTGACTTCCGTTGACAATAGGGATGCGATTTTGCTTGCGACGAAAATTGCTTCTACTTTCTTTGCAAAGACGCCGTTAGCGGATCGGAGGTTTGTGTGAGTGTGCCAGAGGATGCCAAAGCTTTCAAAGCAAACGATGCATCCATGACTCCCAGCGACTTCCTCGGCTCCGCTGCTATGCTTTTGGTACTTGATGACGCCGAAGACCCGACTTCAAACGCTTCAGCCAGACACCTACAGCCTGCAATCTCCAATGGTACTAGGCCAAACTTTGCTTTTGCCGAAGAGGACTGTTATCTTTGCGAGGTCGGTGACGAATCTTGTGGAGTAGGTGACACTTTTTTCTTTGCATACTGATCTTTATTGGTTTGTTATGTTGACTGACTTCTGTAGATGTGTGACTGGCAATTCACCTGCGGCACCAAGAAGAGGTGCTTTCACAATGGAGCTCGCGAGGTTGTCGAGATGTGCTTCGAGACTGGCGAGAAGTGTCGTCCCTGAACCGAATTGGCGGCATCTTTCTTAGACATGGCGCAGCCGAGTCATCTCACAATGACACCGACTGACGGGATAGCTGAGTTTTTGGGTTTCGCTTGTTTGTCCCCTTTCATGCTTTGTCGATCGCGCAGCTCAGCTTGACAATGGTCCAAACACGCAACAGGATCTTTACGTACAGCTTTCTCCTCCTTTCCCTCTTCACCTTTGTTACTTTGTACTTGTTGATAGCGTTTACGTTTGCTTCTGAATACCACACATCTTCTACAATTTCTTGAGTTGTTTGCCTCGACACATGTGTGTGTTCATCAATCGTCTTTTACCTTTCACCGAGGCCCATCACTTCTTGCTTTGACAACCCTTGGTAGAGTTGTCGTTGATCTAAAGCCCTGGGAAGAGGTCACTTGTTCAATTGGTTTCCACTCCGTCAATGCTGCTCTGCACTAGAGGTGTCACTCCAACAATTGTGTTTGCTGTGTCGTGTGGTTCTCTGTGTTGCTGTTTCTTTGGTCTCTTCTATTTAGGTGCAAGAGCTATAATGATACGTGGAATCATAAACCTGTCAGATTTTTCCGATCAAACGGCAGCACGCACAGGCATCGGTATCAAGAGTTCAGCTTTCTTCTGTTCATCAAGTGTCTGTTGATTCTGTACGCCGAAGACTCCATGCAGCCAAATGCATTAAAGAGCCTTTTTGTCTATCCCCAGACCAAGTCAATTCTTTCGCCTTTCACTTTTGAATTGAACCACTCATAGATCTCAACTTCCTGTTGCATCACTTTAGCTCCATCAAGGACACCACTCTTCCCTAATCGCTCTGTCGCAAACTGTAACTCCAAGGTTGCCAAATTTCTTGCGATACACGCCCGGCTACCTGCCCCAAATGCGAACCAGTACTTTGACATCGCTTCTGTCGGGCTTAACCATCTCTCGGGCTCGAAACTGCGAGGCTCGGGGAAGACAGTCGGGTTGAAATGTAGCTCATAGGCCGAGCAGCCGACAACAGAGCCAGCAGGGAAGTATGTGGATTTGAAAGTCCAGCCTCCCGTAGGTACAACGTGAGGCAAACGTGTCGGATTGGCCATGCTAATTCGAAGACCCTCCTTGACAACAGCGTTAAGGTAGGGCAACGCTTGGACTTCTTGTGCATCAGAACCAACGGCAGCATTGCTTCTAATCTCTTCCTTTAGTCTCTCGTATTTCTCGGTATAACATGCTAGATTCAGCATGATCGTAGCCAAGTTCATTCCCGTGGAATCTGTGCCCGCAAAGACAAGATCCTTGCACTGCGCTTTGACTTCCGAGTCGCTAAGCCCGGCAGCTAGTAGACGTCCTGGATAGGTCGTTGACTTCTCGGAGGTGTTGGTTACCAAGGCAGAGACAAACTTGTCGACCAGCATCATGCTGTCTTCGGTCTCAGGGTCAGGCATCCATTTACCGACGGCCCATTCTAGCCATATGAAAGCGATATTCGGGAGGTAGAAGAAGCGCCCGACCGCTACAAATGCGTCTACAAATGCGCTTACACTGAGTACGGGACCGCGCTCGCTGACTCCATCGTAGTTCTCCCGGAAAAGATGCGTGGAAACTGCGTCTACAGCCAAGCTTCGTGTTAGATTAAGCACGTTGACCGGCCTTCTTGTCTTTGACTCTTCCTTTAGCCGCTCGATCATGCGATCCACGCACCCCCAGATAGCCTTCTCGTTCTCTCTGAGCGCTTTGGTAGAGAACAGTGGGACTATGGCTTTCGCCCTCGGACTCCTGTAATCCGCATCAACCGTCGAGAAGATAGTCTTGTGGCCGTCGATATCAAAATTGGCGTAGCATGCCGCTTTTGGAAACCCTCCTTTTGAAACATAGATTGCAGGTATAGCATCCGCGTCGCTTATGTCAATTTCATTGGGTGCGACACGCACGTACGGGCCGTACCGTTCGTGGAGCTTGTGGATGGTGCTTGCTTCATCTCCGATATAAGCGTGATAATGGAGGAATATGCTAGTCAACTTGGGTAACAATGGTCCTGGAATGTGAGATAGCGGATGGAAGTAGACGCGATATATGGAACGAATGAACAGGAGCAGGAACGGTGCAAAGAATAAGATCACTGTAGGGTAGGCTGCGATAGCGCTGATAAAGAAGCTTTGGAGCGCCATCGAGATGGCAATTGAGAGTAAGGCTACATTGAAGCTCTCGTGCTTATCATCTTGATTATATAGGTCCTGGTTGGTTGAGTCACCGTCGCCGTTAGTGGGGTGGCTATCAACGGCGATCATGATCGCCGCCACCTTTGTGCCCGAACCGAGGCCACAGTCTCATCTTCAACGTTTTCGCTAAAGCATCTTATCCCACGCTGTATCGCAGATTTTCTGGGGTGGCTATCCATAGATCTCTTGGGATTACGCTACTCAGCAACGTACAATGACGTCATGTATAACCACGAACGTACGCACGGGAAAAGATTAGAGAAAATGTAGGAAATGCTCAATTGCAGCGAGAGGCTTGTATAGTCGCTACAGTTATCAAGACCAAATGACGGGTAGATCACGGCAAAATGGTCGCTCTGATCATGTTACTGTCGATCTCCTTTCCTTTTGTCCTAGCATTAGACATCAGCCTAACTCCTCGACACTATGATTAGCCCTTAAAGCCAGCTCATGATAAGCGTATCAAGCATTAACACTTCCGTCTATATATTCGCGGCATGCAAGAGTTACGAAAGCATCGATGCCGCACTCGAGGATGGATACCGAAATGCATGTTTAGTTCCTGCTATTCACTGCTTGGTTGACATAGCATGAACGTGGGTCGTTATGCAGCAAGGTAAGAAGGCAAGAGAGCCAAAAGACGTTTCAATGACCTAGAAAGTCCAATAATTTACACCCTCCTCGACTCCAGATTCGTCTGGCGCTAATGTGTTCATCCATTCGGGGATATCGCGCGGTGTTGACAGTATCTGGCTTCTCTTCCTAACGTGAAATTTAGACTTCAAGGACGACACCTGAACTTGTCTTAGCTTCATGAGAGGAACTGAAAGTACACAAACTACTTACTATCCACTTCGTTGTTGTAGACAATCTTGGTTTTATTGTTCTTGAGGTAGCAGTTGCTATCAACCCAAGTGACGGCAACACATCCTGGGAAGATGGCGCACTCATCCACACACTTTGTCATGGTATCGGTTGACTTGAGAGCAATATCTCCGCCATAGTAGTCATAGTTGCATTCGGCGATGAACGACTTGCTGTTGGTAAGGTACCTACACTTGTCGTTGGTGGGGCAGTCGATCACCGTAGTGCACGTCGAAGAGCCAGGAGCTAGCTCTGGGTCGGTCGGGGCCTTGAGTTGTACGCCAGCGTTTACGTTGTTAGAGCTATGGAACATGTCAGAACAGTGTTAAGAAGTACCGATGCGCTAGCGATCGACCCACGAGATTCGGGCAGTTCCAACGGGCTTGCCAAGAAGGTAGCAGAAACCATCTTTCATATTGAATGCAATACAACCGGAACGTCGGGAGCAAGCATCTCCGCAGTCGACGAACGCATCGGCCTAAATTGATGTGAGTGCTTCATCCGGACTTCGTTTCGATCTTAGTTCACCTGCGCAGCGTCAATGACGCGGCCGTTGTAGTCGGTTGCACAGCTGAGCTGGAATACAGCGCCGTTGGTGGAGGTTGATACACAGCCGTTCCATCGAGGACATGTTGGTGTAGAGGGGCAGTTTCGCATCTGGCGAGGAACTAGTGTGGAAAGCGCAGTGGTGGCTGTGAGGAGTATTCCGTGCTACTTGAAATTCAGTATAGATTGCAAACTTGTGCACGTATGATCGAAGAACACCCTGTGATTGTCAAGAAAAACCATACAACTGTTTCAAACAAGACATCCATTCATTTGGACAAAGTAATGTGCGTTGTGGCTGAAGCATACGACCGTTGCGACTTACCATTTTGGCTAGTAGTGAGTGAAGGCTAGGTTGGTCTGGGAGGAAGGTAAGGAGGGAATGATGAAAGAAGAAGAGCTGCATAGATGCCTTTGAATAGACTTGTCTCTCGTGGCTGAACCGTATATCGATGTGGGCTTTGTGACGATGAAGGCGGGGTTTATGGAGTTGATACCATGGTTCGATGCCACCTATAGCAAATGACAGGTCTCCAAATCCGAAAGATAACAACTACCAAAACCCCGCGTATTTTCTTGATTACAACGGTTGGAATTTTCGAAGGGATGAGACCATGGAGATCCACCATGCCACATTAACATGAGCCTAGGCCTTGGGTAATCTTATAGCTGCAGCCAACAGTTCTCATTTATTTTCCATCGAGCCTCCATTGCTCCACGTACCAGTACCATACCATGTAATCGGCTTTGAATAGTCAAGCGTTCGCCCGTCTATGACATATGCCCAACGAAAGTACTCATTTATCCTTTTGTCAATTGGCCGATCCCATTTGAAGGAAGCCGCAACTAGCCCGCCATCGTAGAACGTACGATCGCGCTCAACGTCGTTTACTAAAACACTTATACCATTGACTCCGATCGGGTGTACGTCATACGAAAATGTCGCAACGGTCCCCTCGGTATCGGACTCGATAACAGCATTCAGTATCTTGGGAACGACCGAGTTGAACTTTGCATCATCGCGAAGTGCTGCAGAAGTCTGCAGAATAGAGTCAAAGTCCCAACGCGCTATTCCATTGACAAAGAGGCCCAATAGAATGCCTTGGTAGAGCAAGGATGGCCGTGTCTGGAGGCTGGTTCCGGGCAGCAACAGCATCGCAAGAATGTAATGGTGGAATCTCAGATTGACACCTGGTATAGCCAAGCATACTAAGATGCTGGTTACGAAGATTCCGTACAAGCCGAGGTATCGGAGCAGGCGGCCTTCGAGCCAGAAGTAGTATACTTGACCCACAATGATTACGGCCAGTACCACAATGATTACGGCCAAGGCTATCTTCGCCCCCGGTTGTTGTTCCAGATCGTGTGCCGTAAGTCGCGATATAGGTATCCAATCAAAGGTGTAATTTGATAACGCCCCAATCCAGAATCCACCAAGCCAGAAGATTGCTTTCTCAAACTGAGCAGTCAGCCCAGACAAGGTTCGCTTAATGACAGTAGAGTACAACACTATTGCTACGAACATTGCCGGTAAAAGTCGTTTTACGAACATGGATATGTGATCTGGCAGTACAGTGGTACTGTGATACGATGCCGATGGTGGATCAGAAAAAAAGCTCACATGGGCGAATATGAGAATAAAGATTGGAAAGAAGATCTTTGGTGATGTGGAAAATATAGCAAGTACAGCAGTAAATAGAATCGAGATGGGAAGTAATGCTGACCGAGGATCAGAGATGGCCTGGAAGCTGTCATCGAAAGCCAAAGAAAAAGCTAGCGGAAAGTAGGAATCGAAAGGCAAGGATTCGATGCCATGACGCTTGGTACTGGCAAAATTGTCATAGTTGCCAACGAGGGTTATACGACCAGCACCACCTTTCTGATCATCTACAATCCCAGCATGGATCGCTGAGCCACAGATGAAACTATCTCCACGATAAACTTCTGTGCCGATGACAAGAGGCCGATAATTTACTTCAAGCGGCCCAACAACATGCGGATTCAGAATCTGTACACCTCCACACTTTGCTGGACACTGGAAGGCGAAAGAATAGTCGCTGAAGGGCCGGCAATTGATTCCGTCGATACCGCATTCGTTCTTTCGTTTCCAGAGTGTATCTGTGCAGTCGAGGTTGAGCACGCTGTTACCGTCCCCATCTCGAAGCGGTAATTGGGCAGTCAGAAACCATATGAAAACCAGGAGCCACACGAGCAGCACGACAACGAGCGAAGTAGGGTTGTTGAGCCTGTATGCTTCAAGCCACTGTACTGGGCGCGCTTGAACCGACGGAAAGACCGGCTGTATGGATTGGACGCGAGGCGGCTCTGGACTGCGCAGAAAACTCAAGAATTTGTGTCGACTGGCACGCGTAGGTGGCATATAATCCTCAAAATCCAGCTCTTGCCTTCCTAACAGGTGGGCTTCTTCTTCATCCATGTTTGCCGCGCCGGATACAGGGTCGCCCCTCTCCTCATCATGGTGGTCATCGTCTGATCCATTTTGTAAAGACATGGGCATAATCACCTCCGGTGCGTAATATATGCATAAGAAATATCGTGATTGTCATTATGGTCTGGGGCGAGACATTGAAGCATCAGTATTTTCTCTTAGCCTTATCGATAAAAAGCATTCGTATCTACAACCTTGCGCTGGTGCCTCAATTTTCTACTGAGCACGCTGTTGAACGATAACGTAGTAGCAGTTTTACTTCGGATATCAATCTCCTTATTAGCACTTTTCAATTTATCGTTACACAGTCTCGTCTTACTTTAGACACGCGTTGTGCACCTCCACCTATGTGTGACCCCGTTTCCTCAACGCGCATTCCTATTACCCTTTCACATAGAATGCTTACATTTAGTCGCTGAAAGTCTGGTCCTTTCTTTTTCCCGTATTGCGAGGACAGGTCCATGACTGTGAGTTGAGGAATGAATCCAAATGTCTTCGACTCAGGGGCACAGACCAAGACCCTTCGGTGCTCTCGCATTCGTACCAGGCTGAACACGTCCCAAACGTCTCAAATCCAACGCCCGACGTGCGCACAAATTCTCGAACTCTGTACTGCCATCTAAGCAGCCAATTGCTCACTACAATGGACGTGTTCCAATCCTACCTCCCTCAATCAGAGGGTCTGCTACCTAAATGGCTTCTGATCGTACGTTCTGCTCTGCAACCTTACAATTGTCACCTTTACATCGTCTCTCCAACCAGTTGGGCCAGCTAACAACTTCCGCAGGTCTCTCTGATCTCCATCGGAAACAGTATCCAATGCTACTCCACGCTGTCCTTCACCTCGCGCGTCTACAACCCTACTCCAATTGACCCACCACCTACCACGCCAAAACACGTAACCGCTCTCTCTTCACGCACATTTGGGACATGGACCTTTTTGACGGGCGTGGTACGTTTCTACGCTGCCTACAACATCAACAACCCTAGTTTCTACCAATTGGCTATTGCCACTTATGCCGTAGCATGGGGACACTTTATGAGTGAATGGTTCGTGTTCGGGACGACAAGATGGGGAAAGCCGTTGGCTGGACCGGTAATGGTAGCGACTTCAAGTCTGATCTGGATGTTCATGCAGTGGAACTTCTACGTAAAGGCTTAGAGAGACAGGGGGGGGGAACACTGGGTATTGATATAAAAGATGGTGATGTAATGTTAATCTATACACGGATGCCTTGATGCATGGAATATTCTCACGACCTAGATCGAGGGAATGTCATGGTAGGATCGGGCATGAAGAGAAGTCGAGTTCTCAACGCAAGCTACGTTGACTGAAACTCATCACGATCCAGTACAAACAGCAATGGACTTTTTGACCCGCCTCGGTGGCTTGTTTGACCACTCGAGGACTTTCATTGATCGTAGCTGAAGAAACATACATGGCCCATGGGACTCCGATTCCTCAACCCTTGATGCCGAGTTTTGACGACCATATCGAAAACCATCACGCTCCGCCTCAACCAGGTTTCTTTCCGTTGTTGATCATGAACCGTTACACCATCCCTTTTCTATGCACTTAGAACTTGTTGAACTGCTTAGCAGCCTTTCCCTTTCGGGGGAGGACACGGAGAACGTTGAAACGGACGGTCTTGGAGAGGGGCCTGCACTGGCCAACGACGACCTGGTCACCGGGCTCAGCACGGAAAGCGGGAGAAACGTGTGCGGCGAGGTTCTTGTGGCGCTTCTCGTAACGGGAGTACTTGGGGATGAAGTGAAGGTATTCACGGCGGATGATCAAGGTGCCTGCACTGCGTTAGTCCCCATTGCCAAGCATTTTCTTGTGGTGCTGGTCGAGCCCTGTGTGCGCTCCGGACCCGGGTATTCACGTACGGTGCATCTTGGTGGACATGACAGTTCCGGTCAGGATACGGCCACGGATGGAGACCATGCCGGTGAATGGGCACTTCTTGTCGATGTAGGTACCCTCAATGGCGGTCTTGGGGGTACGGAAACCCAGACCAACGTCCTTGTACCATCTCCTGTTGCGGGTGTTCTTGCGGGGGCCGCCGACCTTGTGGTTGAGGAAGATGTGAGGCTATCGCATCGCATTAGTACCGTGTGTGCTGGGAAATCGCGAAACGGGCGTCTAGTACCTGCTTCTGGAAAGCGCGCTCCGACTGGACACTATTTCGCAATCAGCATTTGTCGACAGTCTTGTTCGCGGGTTCGCACAACGTACGTGAGTTCGGTCGCCATGGTTGCGGGTCGGGTGGTATTGTCGAGCTTTCGATGTTGCTGGACGCAATTTCCACTCTGACTTTCGCTTACGCTTAGCAAGTGTGGACGACAGGTTTCTCCGGTGCCGACGCCTAGCGCCGCGCTAGTCCCGCCAGCCTCGGCAGGGCCTAGAGCGAAGCCAGGCGAGAAGTGAGAAGACAGTCGCGACGACTGACAGAGCGTGCCAACTTGGGTGCTGTCCTCACCTCTCCAACCACCAACCTTTGGCTACCCTAGCATCCGCCCATCATGGCAGGCATCCTCGAGCCGTTTGGTCTTCACATCGATGCGAGCAACTCGTTCGTGCAGGCTGCTGTCTATGGCTTCTTGCTTGTCGGCATTGCATCCTTCGCAGCACCCATTGTCAGCACTGTCCGCGTTCTCCTGAGCTTGTTCGTGCTCCCAGGAAAATCGGTATGCAGCCCTCCCACATGACCCTTCTATCTCCCCGGAGCATACCTAACCCCCACCAGCTTAGCACCTTCGGACCCCGCGGTACCTGGGCACTCATCACTGGGGCTTCAGACGGCATTGGCAAGGAGTTCGCCCTCTCCCTTGCAGCAAAGGGCTACAACCTCATCCTCGTCTCGCGCACGCAATCCAAGCTCGACGCCCTCTCTGCTGACATCACCTCCAAGTATGGCCCCAAAATTGCCGTCAAGACGCTGGCCATGGACTTTGCCCTGAACAAGGATGCCGACTACAACAACATGAAGAAGCTCATCGAAGGATTGGATGTTAGCATACTGGTAAACAACGTCGGCCTGAGCCACAGCATCCCCGTGCCGTTTGTCGAGACACCCAAGCAGGAAATGAACGACATCATCATGATCAACTGTATGGCTACGCTACGCGTCACGCAGCTTGTTACCCCCGGCATGATGTCTCGCAAGCGTGGCCTCGTCCTCACCATGGCATCCTTTGGCGGTTTCTTCCCCACGCCCCTCCTCGCAACCTACTCTGGTAGCAAGGCATTCCTACAACAGTGGTCCACCGCGCTTGCTTCTGAGCTTGAGCCCCATGGTGTATACGTTCAGTGCGTCCAATCCCACCTCGTCACCACCGCCATGTCCAAGATCCGTAAGACATCCGCCCTTGTGCCGAACCCCAAGCAGTTCGTGAACGCCACACTGAGCAAGATTGGAAGAAGTGGGGGTGCACAGGGTGTGGCTTTTACAAGTACGCCATACTGGAGTCATGGACTCATGCACTGGTTTCTCTCGCGCTTCTTGGGTGAGCGTTCGGATACTGTAGTCAAGGTGAACAGGGGCATGCACGAGAACATCCGGAAGCGCGCGCTCCGGAAGGCTGAGAGGGACGCCAAGAAGCAATAAGATGGGGCACAGCTATCAACGTAGGAAAACGTTGAACCCATTGGATATGCTATCTATACTTGCCTACATGTGCGCCCATACAAAAAATCGTTGCCTTTGATTCCCATCACAATTCACCTCACACGAGCCGAAGAACGAAGCCGTTACAAAGCGACATGAGATGGCTCTCACCACCTTCCACCCCTCGTATGTCGATATAATGTACAAACGCACAAAGGAACAGTTCTTCGTCGTTTTTAGTGGGCGTGGATGGAAACATGTGGATAGTACCTTGAATACACTACGCATTCAAACAACCAAAAGCTTTGCGCCATGCTATAGCATCAAGGATATAATTACAACGCTTGCTCCGCCACTCAGAATAGAAGACTCCGCAACTGGGTTCATATAATCATAAGAAAATAGCCAACAACCCAAGCGTTGCAACAAGATATGATGCCTAACGTCGTTTTCGCGCCTCTGACGGCATGCCTCTACGACGACTTGCCGTAAGCCTGGTCAACTTCCTTCTGGTATTGCTTCAAGATGCCCTTGCGGTTGAGCTTCTGTGCAGCAGTGGTGAGACCCTGATATGTTATTAGCATGTTGCAGGCTTACTTGCGCGTTGCATTGGTACTTACGTTCTGTGGTGTCCATTCCTCGTCTGCCAATACAACACCCTCAATCATCTCAAAGCCAGCCAGGCCGCCCTTTTGGCCGGCTTGCTGTAATTGCTTGAGCACAGCAGAGTTAATCTTCTTATCGTGAACTAGCTCCTCCAGAGAGTCGCCACTGACGCCTTCTGCCGATGCAATCTTCTTGAGTTGCGGTTCGGTAGGCACGATAATAGCGACAGGCTTCTGACGGTCTTCCGCAGCATAGACACAGATGTTGGCAACAATGGGCGCTGAGCGGTAGACAGACTCGAGCTTCTCAAGCGCAATGTACTCTCCAGCGAGCGTCTTGACCAAGTTCTTCTTACGGTCGATGATGCGGATTTCACCGTTGGCATTAAACTCTCCGACGTCACCAGTCTTGAACCAGCCATCGTCGGTAAACGCCTCCTTCGTCTCCTCAGGCATGTCCAAGTAACCGTCCACAACACCACCACCACGGATCCAGATCTCTCCTTGGGGTGGGTTGTTAGTGGAGAAGTAGCCGGCGTCTGCAAAGTCGACGAGCTTCATTTCGACCGAACCAGGCATTTCGCCGAGAGCATGCTCGTTCCAAGCCAAGGGGTCCATGAGCGCACCCATAGCGCAGGTTTCAGTCAGACCGTATCCGCTGATCATGGGCGTAATGGCGATAGAGATGAAGCGCTGGGTTTCCTTCGCGATGGGTCCACCACCGTTCATGCAAATTCGGAGCCTGCCACCGGTGGCTTCCTTGACCTTGTTGAAGACGATGGCGTCAAGAATACCGCTGCCAGGTAGTCCTGAGCCAAGAAGGAAGCCCTTGGCAGCGTACGCGCCCCAGAACATGTTACTCTTGACAGCGCCTCCTGCCTCAACCTTGTTGACGATGCCTTTCTTGATGGTTTCCCACACCTGAGGCACACCGACCATAACAGTCGGCTTCAGCTCACGGATGTCACCGGCACAGTTGCGCACCGACTGGTCTGAGAGCGTCCTGATGGTTCCGTAACCCATAGTACCGCCCCAGTAGAGTACGGCATTTTCAAAGACAAACTCGAGAATATGCGCTGCGGGAAGGTAGGTAATGAGAACATCGCCTGGTCCGAGGTACTTGCCAACGATGACGTCGACACCAGCAACTAGAAGGTGTCAGTAGGCTGTTCATGATTTTGAGGTATGTGACATACTAGCAGCAACGACGTTACGGTGCTTGATCATAACTCCCTTCGGGGTACCTGTAGATCCGGACGTGTACATGATGCAAGCCAGGTCGTCGGCCTTGGGTGGGATGGGTTCTGCAGGGCTCTGCTCGCCCATCTTGACCAAGTCGTCGAAGCTTATGACCTTCAAGTGCGGGTGGGCCTGGGTGAGGGTGTCGATGTCCTTCTGCTTGGGGTCGTTCTTGGTGCAGTACACGACGACCTGAACATCCTTGGCCTCCTTCATTGGGTTGACGAGCCTGGGCAGTAGCTCTGGGTCTGTGAACATGACCTTCGCGTTGGTCTGGAGCATGGAGTGCTTGAGACCCTCCTCTCCCAGTGTGTCGTATGCGGTAACAATGGCCATGGATTGGGAGATGGCGCCTGGAGTCATGGTTAGTTGTTGCTTTTTGCATATATACACGCGACTGCTTACCATGTGCGGACGCAAGCCATTGCATGCTTGTCGCGGCGAACAGATGCAGCCTGTCCTGTGGGTTGAAGCCGAGCGACTTGAGTCCCGAGCCCACCGAGAGAGCCATCTTCTCAAACTCGACGAAGCTCTTGTACTTGTACGGGCTGAGCTCGAAGTACTGCCACTTCTTATCTACCTCCTGCTCCTTGCCATCGACCATCTTCTTGACCTTCTTCGTCTCCTCGTGTACGTTGACGACTTTGCGCGCACCGACTGCCTTTGCGTTTCCGAACTTGGCGGCTGAGTGTCGCAGAACGTCGTACAGTGTGGCTACGTTGTCGTGGGGCTTCATTATCAGGCCTTCTTTCGCGGCCAGGTTGCGGCGCGGGACCGTCTCGCCTTCTACCTTTTCTGCATTCGCAGCTTCGCACGTGTAGGGCCCCGACCGATACATTTTGGCCTGGGGCATCAGCTTCTTGAGATCTTGCGGCATCTTGGCGACTCTGGGGTGGGAGCTGTCCAGAGCGACAATCGCGTGTGTTGAGTGTGGGTATATGTGGGGGTATAGGGCAAAGGGTATCACAAAAAGTGCCAGCAGCAGCGAGAGGGTATAAGCAGAGTGTGTCGTCGCCAGCGGAGAATGGCGGATGTGATGAGGTTGGTGTGTTGGGGAGCTTATGCGCTATGTTATGCTCAAGTCGCTAAATCGACTTGCTTTGGGCGGCCGAGCTTCTTAGGCAATGACCTCACTAAGCCACCGCAAGCTCTGGGCAACTGGGGCTAGCCGCTTCTCCACTTCTTTTGTGTCGAACGAGATGCGACTGAAGATCGACAACGCAGCACACATCGCAAGGTTTGCCAGGTCGTGCCAGTCTCCTGTCGTCTTGCCTCGACGTCGTTTGTGTGTCTGAAACCTGCTCGACGTCACCTGTCGTCCAAGTGCAGTTGCGCCCGTCTTCAGCTGGCCAAGCAAGCCAGAGACTCTTCCAAGCCGCGCAGCCTCCTTCTGACGCTGTAGCTCGTGCGCATACTCGCAACCCGCTGTCGCCTGAGCGTTGCCAAGATGCGGAGTCTCATCACGGAGATTCTGGCAACGGAACCTATCCTGGACCCTGAAGAAGGTATGTAAGACGCCCCTGGTGTACTGGAATCCCACCGTCGAATCACAACACTACGCTGGTCCTCGGCTCAATCGTACTGCTCTTTCCTTGCGATTCGCTCTTACCCATTTCTAATGTCCAAAATGTCCAAAAACAACAAAGTGGTCATCATCGATACATCACTCATCAAATCATGCAGAAGCCTTTGTCGTCTTCTCGCAAGATATCCCTTCTCAGTCACTCGGTTTCATCGATTCTCAGGACCCAACCCTAGAGATTACGGTGGCGGGCCATGATCTGGTCATTCATCACTCAAAGGGTCTCTTGACCTCAAACCGTAGCGAGGGGACTACTGGTGCTAGTAAGTTCTGCTGTGATGATTCCCGGGGTCATGCGTTGTCCCAGCCTTTCTCAGAACTCAGCTGAGTCTGGCTTTCCTTGAGGGTTCCCGCGAAAAAGCATGTCAGCTTCGTAGCTCTGTACGAAAGAGCTCGTTGCTTTTGAACCATACTATAGTACAGTAGATAGGCCAGCGAATCCATGATAGTTGTCGCCATTACGATACAACTGTTGCCTTCTATTCCTTTTACACCGACTAACACTAATGCAGTGGTATGGAAAGTTACACCCTTATTCGCAACATGGATCTCTTCCCCTACAAACTTCCTCTTCACAAATCAGTTGATCACGCCCAGCTCCACCATACTCGAGCTCGGCGCAGGTGTATCAGGCATCGTGGCGCTCTGCCTGGGTTCCCGAGTAGCAAGCTATACGGCCACCGATCAAGACTACGTGCTTAAACTGCTTCGGCAGAATATTGCCGAAAACCTCGGTACTGTGATACAAGTGAAGAGAAACAGTGGTAGGGGGAGTAAGAAACATCAGGATCGCTCAAAGAGTGGTGGTGGTGGTGGTGGCGGTATCGACCGCATCACAACGTTGGAGCTTGACTGGGAGACAGACGCCACTTTTCATCTCAACCCTGTGGATATGATCGTAGCGTGTGATTGCGTATACAACGAAGCCCTCGTTGAGCCACTCAATGCAACGTGTGCTGCAATATGTAGGCTGAAAGAGGGAAGTGGGAGCCCCACGCTTTGTCTGATAGCGCAGCAGCTACGTAGTCCAGAGGTCTTTGAAACTTGGTTGAAAGGCTTTCATCAAAGTTTTCATGTCTGGCAGGTGCCTGATAGCATGCTAGGTGAGGGGTTGAGGGAGGGGAGTGGGTTCGTGGTGCACATTGGCATTGTGAGGTGACCTGGGCGGCCTCGGGTAGAAGTGACGATGAACAGTCTCTTTATAAACATAAACTACCAGAACACTATAACGCCGACATGCCTTTCAAGCATGAAAACCTGCTTTTTGTAAAACCAGACAGCTCAAACAACGCTTATGCAGCCTTGCTAGGCTCAATATCCGAACTCGGTCGTCCCTCAACATCTGTGGCTCCCTTCCTGATCCTCGCCCACTCTTCCTTGTCTGCTGGCTCATCAACTTCATTCGCAGTCAACTCTGGTGTTTCTTCATCCTCAATCTCCTCTGGTAAGACAAGGTTGAGTATAACATTGACTAGAGCAACAACGGCAAAACCAGTCTCCAGAATCAAGACAATAGCGTTATAAAAGCCCTGGAGTGCGTGGTTTGGTCCGTCGTATGTGAAAACATGATCAAACCAGTCGGGAACCATAGTGGCGCCAAAACCCAGTGTGAATCCCGCAGTGAGAATGAAGCGGTTGCGGCGGGTAAAGGGCATGGTGCTTATAATCCTGATACCAGATACGGCTACAGCGCTGAAGAGGAAGGTCGTCATTCCGCCGAGAACTGCTGATGGGATGGCAACAAGGGCCGCAGCGAATTTAGCAAAAATCCCCATGATGATGAGCCAGAAGCAACACGCATAACCAGCTTTCCGGTTGGCACAGCGGGTCAAAGCAATGACGCCATTGTTCTACAGATGTGGAGATGCGAAGTCAGTGTATGTCTCACATGCATTTCGTACAGTCATAACTTACCTGTGCGAAGGTAGACATAGGGGTAATAGTGCACAGGGCAGCAATCATGCCATTCAGGCCATCAGCGAGGACACCACCTTGGATTCTGGAGTCGAACATTTCGCCGTCGACTTCGAGGCGTGAAACATCGCAGGTAGCGGTAATGTCACCAATGGCTTCCATGGCGCAAACCATGTAAACCGCCAAGAGCGGGAGTACTATGGGCCCGTAGACGGAGAGCTTGAAGGTATTGACCCAGATGAAGGATACAGCAGGTGCCGCGTCAATGGTAGACTTGTCAAAGTAGCCGGTTGCACCAGCGATTATGCATCCGACGAGGAGTCCGATGACGACGGCAGTGGACTTCATGATGGGTGCGCCAAAACGCTCACAGATGATGATGGTGATGAAGACACTGAAACCAAGACCGATAAACTCAGCGCTACCCCACGGAAGAGGGTGAGGAGCGTTGATGTTGGGACATAGCGCGAAAAGTCCAGATTCCGGGCGGGACTGGCAGTCACCGGAACCGCCGGCCCAGTTTTGGAGTCCAGTTTCGATGAGATGGACACCGATGAGCAGAACTGTAGGACCGGTGACTAAGGGTGGGAAAACCTTCTTGAGGATACGCGGGTTGGTAAAGGACATGCCAATTTCCAGCAACGCGCATACGGCACAAGTACCGAGAATAGCACCGTATCCATCAGGGCACGGTAGTCTTGTGCCATCAGCAGCAGTTGGGCAATATCCAGTCGCGTACATCTGGCTAAGCGCGCCAGTCGCCACGGGAATAGTCGCAAAAGAGGTACCAACAACTGAAATTAGACCTGTACCGATGTAGTACGGGGTCTTCCAGATGTGGAAGCGCGTGATTTGAACCGAGGATAGGATTCCGCAGACTACTAGCGAAGTGGAAACGAGGTAGCGTTGTTGGTCCGAACTGAGATTGGCGGCGTTGGCAAGTATGATCGGTGGGGTTATGACACCTGCTAACATGGCGAGTGCATGCTGAAATCCGAGAAGGAGAGCTAGTAGTATTGGCATACGATCATGAAGGCCGAAAAAGGGCGCTGCTCTTCGCTCCTTCTTCATAAAAGGCAGGTTCGGCCGGAAGAGAAATCCGTAGTCGTAAGTGCCAACTAACCCATCTCTGTAAACGTTGTTAGAGAGTTACAGGCAAATCACAAAAGGAGGTCATACTTGGTCGTGAAGGCCTTCATGGCGCGCCTTGCTTGCTCTCCAAAGCTTCGCTTTGGCGTATGGTCGGGACCAATCATGTCGGCCATGGTTGCTTAGGCTCTGAACGCCAGATGCGCGCGCTCCAACAGAAGCAGATGTGTAAATTTTAGGCCAACTCTTATATGTCTAGTCGTCGAACTTCCGATAAGGATGCGCTCGATGTTGAAGATCCCGATAAGATTGGCGAGGTGGCTGAAGATATCGAAGTACACGACCAGTGGGAGGGTCGGATGGAACGTTTGGTCGGCTACGGGCTATCGCGTGCAGAATTGCTCACCACTAGGATGGCTCTTGAAAGACTCGAATCTTTCACTTGGAGTTTGACATGCGGGGAAGTGACGTGAAGATGGCGAAACCCTAGTCCAAGTGGGAACAGTCGATGTGTGGTAGAGTGACGGCTCAAACCGATGGAGCTGACTCCTCATCTATATAGAACATGTGGAGAAGGAGTATTATCTCTCGCGCCAGTACTCACGATACACAATTGTTCATCGACAACGTCCTAGCCGTAAATTCAAGGCACTCACGGACCGCCAAAGATTGGAGCTGGCCGAAGATAGTCGTGAGCCGCCGGAAACAATTACTGTTCTCCACGGCAAACTCGTCGCTAAGGCGCGCATTTCGCAGTGGCAGAGGGGGCGACACCCGCGTATGTGCTAAAGCGATCGCCTGTACTGATAGGCAGGGAATACGTGATTGGTTATGGAGGCCTGGGAGTCCGCTTAGCGGGCGGTCCACTCCGACGATAGAGGGCGGGAGATATTGCGGGAGACGCCTCCCACACTGAAATCAAGTGAATGTGCATCTAGATCTAACACCGAACGTCGTCTGAACATCCTGTTCGCCGGATACCGATGGTGCGGTGCTTTGCGCATTCATTCTGGGGGGACTCGTGTTCTTGGAGACTGGCGTAACAGCCGGTGATCGGAGCCTCGCTGACAACCTGGCTGACACTTACCACAACAGACTCCATGGGGACTGCATCAAAACTACTAACAGCTTCTTCGTTTCGTTCCAACACCATACAATGTCAATAGTCTCCTACTTTTTGGAGAGCGCAAGTTCATCTCGAGCAATCGTGCTGATGTTCGCACACTTTGACCGCTGACCTCTGGCTGGCTGGATTCAGCTATGGTTAACAGACGGTACATGCCAAGGTAGCCCCAGACGACAGAAGCGGTACTGTGTTGATGTGTTGGTATACTGCAAAGAGAGAGGAGAAGCATTCGTCTCATCGAGGAATAACCAACGACAGACTTTGTCACAGATTGCGCCTTGGCAGAAGTCGAACAAGGCTACGCATTCAGGGTACCACAACCAACGTTCGCAAGAAGGGCTCGTCATAGCTCGCGTGTGCATACCAACAGTTTGCCTTCAGCCCTACCCGTTGAAGCGTTGGGACGACCACTGACCTCATGGCATGGACGTAAGACCACACTGGAGGGTGCAGCGGGTGTGACACAGAAGACCCACAGAGCCGAGGCAGATGAGCGTGCGTTGATTCGCAGACTGATGCATCGTGTTGAGTCGGCGATGGTGGGCGCGCGTCGAGGTTGATATGAACAAGTCGTCTGTATGGCTTGGAGACAGACAAAGCAGGTGTTGAGAAGCGCCATCCCAATCGAGAAGAGCTTGCGACCGGCCACCCGAGGTTCAAGCCGTGCCGGGGATTTTGCGCCAGCGGAAGAAGACCCTTCAAAGTCTCCAACGTTCTGCAGCATAGACGAATTTCTTCAAGCGCCATCGAGAGTCATGGACGAGCTCCACTATGCATCGGGAGACGAGCATTTTGCCACTGCTCGAAGTACGTCGTCGCAGCCAAGTTCCCCAGACTGGCTGGAGTTGGCGGGCCGCACCCTACGTAAGGCTGCAGAAGATGTCGGTAGTGCGGACGCAGAGCGATATCAACAAACTTCTGAACGAGGGTGGTGTCAGCTTGAATCGGGCTCATCCTTTGAATGTAGGCGTGGCCAAGCGGGGCCTGAAGCGGAGAGGACAGGTAGCGAGCTAGCGATGACGAGACTTGTGGCATCACCACGGCGTGAGGTTCTATGCCCAGTAAGGCAATCCTTCTCGCCGGGATGCGCTGCCGAAGATTTGCACCAGACCGCTCTTTGTGATCATCTTCGCAGGACGAGGGCGAGAAGAAGCAACAGAGAGCTCTCAGGTGGATAGTGCGGCCGAGGGGCAGCGATTGCTAGAATCTGGGGAAGGTGGCGGCTTGGGATTGATGGATATTCTGCACGTCGCACCACGCACCGCCACCCAGGTCTGTTCTCGATGCCGAGATCAGCACGACCTTGACAGTTAGGCCCGAAATTTTCTCGCGCTGTTACAGCCAGCGCCGTCTTTTTGCCTGTGCGGGACCCTGAGACAGCGGTTAGTGTGCGGCGCTAGCCTTGGTATGACAAAAGCTATGGCGATTGCTGGTTCTCGAGCGACAATGCAAGGTCCCAGTCTTTCGCTTACACGCCCGCAGAGTGTTGGGACTCTGCAACCATCCCGCCGCCTTATTAACAGCGGCTGCCGTCTCTGCTTTCCCTCCCACCCGACATCTTTCGCTGTTCCTTCCCTCCCCCTTCAACCTCGTCATTCACTTGAACGTGGTGAAGCTTTCCATCGTTGCCGTTGGAGCTTTGAACTCACATCCACCGGAGGCCAACCGGAGCTCAATCTTTTTTTGAGCCGCTAGTTGCTTCCAGTCGAATTTCTTCGACATCCCTCGCTTTCCCTACTACTACCTTTCCACCACACCCTCAGTATGCCTTCCCACCAGCCTACGGCCGGCATGATGGCCGTCGACCCCGACTATGTCAAGCAGCCGTCTTCCATGGCGAGCACCTCGGAGCCGAACCGCAACCCAAAGTACGACCCTAAGAAGCCACACATCACCGACACGCCCATCACCAAGGCCAACTGGCACAAGCACGTCAACTGGCTGAACGTAAGTTTGTTCGTAAACATGCACCCCGCAGCATTGGCTAACGTCGGACCCAGGTTACCTTCATCATCGGCATCCCTCTCGCTGGCTGCGTTGCCGCCTTCTGGACTCCTCTCAAATGGCAGACCGCCCTCTGGGCCGTCGTATACTACTTCTGGACTGGTCTCGGCATCACAGCTGGCTACCATCGCCTCTGGGCACACAAGTCCTACAACGCCTCTCTCCCACTCAGCATCTTCCTTGCCCTTGTTGGCGGCGGTGCTGTTGAGGGTTCCATCCGCTGGTGGAGCCGCGACCACCGTGCCCACCACCGCTACACCGACACCAACAAGGACCCATACAGCGTCCGCAAGGGACTTCTCTACAGCCATCTTGGCTGGATGGTCATGAAGCAGAACCCCAAGCGTATTGGCCGCACCGACATCACCGACTTGAACGAAGACCCCGTCGTTGTCTGGCAGCACAAGCACTACATCAAGGTTGTCATCTTCATGGGTTTGATCTTCCCCTCGGCTGTCGCTGGTCTTCTCTGGAACGACTGGAAGGGTGGCTTCATCTACGCCGGTATCCTCCGCATCTTCTTCGTCCAGCAGGCTACCTTCTGCGTCAACTCGCTTGCCCACTGGCTCGGAGACCAGCCCTTTGATGACCGCAACAGCCCCAGGGACCACGTCATCACCGCCCTTGTTACTCTCGGCGAGGGTTACCACAACTTCCACCACGAGTTCCCCTCTGACTACCGTAACGCTATCGAGTGGCACCAGTACGACCCCACCAAGTGGTCCATCTGGCTGTGGAGCAAGCTCGGTCTCGCCTCCAACCTCAAGCAGTTCCGTGCCAACGAGATTGAGAAGGGTCGCGTCCAGCAGCTCCAGAAGAAGATTGACCAGAAGCGCGCCAAGCTTGACTGGGGTGTACCTCTTGAGCAGCTTCCTGTCATCGAGTGGGACGACTATGTTGAGCAGGCTAAGAACGGCCGTGGTCTGATTGCCGTCGCTGGTGTTGTCCACGACGTTACCGACTTCATCAACGAGCACCCCGGAGGCAAGACTCTGATCAAGAGCGGCATTGGTAAGGACGCCACTGCCATGTTCAATGGCGGTGTCTACTTCCACTCCAATGCTGCCCACAACCTACTCTCCACCATGAGGGTGGGTGTCATTCGTGGTGGATGCGAGGTCGAGATCTGGAAGCGCGCCCAAAAGGAGAACAAGGAGGTCAACATCGTCAAGGACGAACAAGGCAACCCAATCATCCGGGCTGGTAACCAGGTTACCAAGGTCGCGCAGCCCATGCTCAGCGCCAGCGCGGCCTAAAGCATTGTCTTTTTCGATTTAGCGACTCCTGGCGTTTGGGATGCCTTTTCGTTTTGTGTAGGCATAATACTGTTTTCATTTCACAGCGTTCGCTAGCGAGCATGGTGGAGACCATGCTCAGCACGATTAGATGGCGTATGTTTGTAGCCTTTGATGAGCGCATGCTTTGAAAAGTGAGCTTTACGGCCTAGACCGAGAATGATATCCATTCACAATTTACCCTAAGATATTTATATGCTTGCCCTCTTGTGATGTCATGTACCTGGCCAAGGTGGGCTTTGTTCTTGTTCCTTCCACCTGTTCGTTTAACGCAAGTGACTGCCTTCTCCAGTCGGCTGGTCCGTGCCTTCCTGTCGACAAGTCTGTTTTCAACCTTCTTACTGCGCAGAGCAGGCATCACTTCAAAATCATCACCGTTGTCACACTCTCATTGATGGCGTCCCAACAGACGGGGATTGCTCCGCCACCAAAACGCTGCAAGCTTGATGACGATGCCTCGAACCAGGAAGTCGCGGAGCCTACCGTTCACGCAAGTCTCAACAAGCCAATAAGCCCACCACTATCACGTCGCAAAAGTCGTGAGCTACCGTCGTTCACGCCGACTTGGAACTTCGATAGCATACCTGAACAAAAATTGGCGTCGCGCCCGGCTGGACTAACCACAAATCAGCCACCAGATAACGAACGTAGTCGCAGAGAGGAAACACGGTTTCTGCCTTCGCCCATACAACTGACCAAAATTGAGAAGCTGTCTGCACACCAGAATGTCGACGCTGTGAGTTTGTCAGATTTGTTGGGTGACCCTCTGATCAAAGAATGCTGGAACTTTAACTTTTTGTTTGATCTGGATTTTGTCATGTAAGTGTATGCTCAAGACATTTGCCACATGAGTTCCAATAATGATGTCGTCCAGGCAGCACTTCGATAGCGATGTGAGGGATATGGTCAAAGTAAAGATCATACATGGCTTTTGGAAGCGGGTGAGAAATGTCCCATATAAACTCTATGTGAGACACACACTGACTTCGTAATACGGGTCTTCTAGGATGATAGTAACAGAATTTCCTTGTTCGTGAGTTCCCTCACTCCGCGTTTAATTTATAGATTTTAACGAAGACCTAGGAAATAGCAGAACAATATCCTAATATCGAGCTGTTGAGCGCATACATTCCAGATCCTTTTGGCACCCGTCAGTAACGCTCATGTACGAACCGCGTGTGAGACACACACTGACTTCCTACACGCACATTCAGATCACTCGAAGATGCTTATTCTCTTCCGACATGACGATACTGCGCAGATTATCATTCATACAGCCAATATGATCTACCGTGACTGGGCCAATATGACGCAGGCAGTGTGGAAGTCGCCATTGTTGCCTGTTTCAGTCAAGGCAGCAACTCCACAGATAGATCCTCTTGATGTCCACCCTATTGGCAGCGGTGAACGCTTCAAAGTCGATTTACTGCAGTATCTTAGAGCATACGGGAAACGGTTGAATGGTCTGACTACACAACTCGCAGACTATGACTTTGCAAGTATCAGGGCAGCTTTCATCGGTAGTGCGCCATCACGACAGAAGCCCGCTGCAGCCAGTCCTTCGGTAACCTCATTTGGATGGCTAGGACTACGAGAAGTACTTTCTGGTATCCCCGTTTCGAGATCGAAAGACGACTCGCGCCCTCACATCGTTACCCAAATATCCTCCATAGCGACATTAGGTGCAACACCGACGTGGCTTTCGAACTTCCAATCAGTGCTTGCCCGTTGTTCGACAGCCAAAATTGTTATCTCGGAGAAACCCCCACCTTCTTTCACAAAGGCATCATCTTTCTTCACCAAACGTGGGTCTAGCTCAGAAAAGTTGTCACCTAGATATAGTGTCATCTTTCCGACACCAGAAGAAATTCGCACCTCCCTTGATGGCTATGCGTCTGGTGGATCAATTCACTGGAAACTCCAATCAGCACAGCAGCAAAAGCAGCTAGAGTACATGCACCCATCACTATGCCATTGGAAGCATGTATCTTCGGATGGTCTGCCGAAACGTCGGGCGCATCGTGGTCCCGCAGCACCACATATCAAGACCTACATACGCTTCGGCGACGAAGAGCATAGAACCATCAACTGGGCAATGGTGACGAGCGCCAACCTAAGCAAACAAGCATGGGGCGATGTAGTGAACAAGAAAGAAGAGGTCTGGATACAATCGTGGGAAGCTGGTGTTGTTATCTGGCCTGGCCTATATGCTCAGACACAATCAGAAGAAGTCGCCATGATCCCAGTGTTTGGAGCTGACAAGCCTGAGCCTGCGGACCTTCCTGTCCTTAATTACAACGCAGAGATGGCAACACAAGGAACGAAGTTGTTGGGGCCGGAGACTGTCGTAGGCTTCCGCATGCCGTACGATCTGCCGCTTCATCCTTACAGTGTTGAAGAGAAGCCTTGGTGTGCCACCATGCAATATCTGGAACCGGATAGGAATGGGCACGCTTGGGGCGGCTATGGGCATTGATAACAGCACTATTGCAACCGCCGCGTAGAGTATGTGCAGAATCTTGGGCAATCTCGCTAGCAGCGTACTAGTACACCGACCATACGAGCACGTTGATGGAAGCATTTGTTGTCCTTGTACTTTCCAAGATTATATATACCATAACACAACCATGGTGATACTAAAGTCTCACCAGTGTCTCTCCAATCAACCGACGCTTATTTGTCGTGCTTGGCCAGTATCTCCTCGGCGGTCTTGACGTACTCGTCCTCGGCTTGCTTCTGCGTAGTCCCGGCGTCCACAACCTCCTTCCACTTGTTGTATTTGGCCTTGCCCTAATCATACTGTCAGTTTGTGTTGCTACATGGCTGTTCGAAGTTGCCTGGTGAGTGCGGGTATGGAAAATGGTATGTAGGCGGTATATCACGACGGAGGATACGGAGGAGTAGAGAAGGCATGCGAGAACATACAGCAAGATCGAACATGCCAGGCTTCTTGGCGTCGTTGATGTCTTTGCCCTCTGCTACCTTGGCGTACGCGTACAACTATAATCACACATAAGAGTTAGCATCTGAACTGGAGTCAAGTAGTACACTAGGCTAGAACGGGAAAGCCGAGACAAAAGAAAAGAAGGACGTACCTTGAGCTGTTCGTCATTGCTAGGACCCTGCTTGCCAGCCGCCTTGAGCTTCTCGCCCATGGCGCTGACCTTTTGGTAGGTCTCGGTGTACTTGGCTCCTGGCATTTTGGTCTATATCACAAGCATTAGCTCTCTCCATTTCGCTGTTCCAGGCAGTAGGTTTCAGGCGCTTCTTACTGTAATATGTGTAGTTTGTAAAGGGTGTATAGAGATGTAGGTGGTTGCGGTGGACTAGTTGGAGAGAAGCTTGGGGCCTTGCTGGCTGGTAGCGGGGTCGAGATCAAGTTCGTAGTGGGGCACCTGTCCTATGACGTTTCCCGAAGGATACATCACATGGGACTTGCACACATGGACACTCCATCCACAACTGTCGCTCACAAGATTATGCATGAATTTGTATTGGAAACCTATGAAATGCACTATCTTCCTGTAAACGCCGTTGCAGCGCCCCGCTATATGCAGCCCTCAACGTTTATCATGTATCGTTTATCGCTTTCTTCTTGGGTATCACCTCTCCCGCCGTCTCTAATATGCATGCAGTGAGCGCATGAGCTACCGGGCTAAGAGTTCCTCAACTGCTTATGTGCATCTGAAACCTGTTACGCAAAGTGAATCAGTTAGCAAATGATATTCTAGTGCACGCCGTTAACACCGTTAACACCATTGACACCGTTCACGCCGTTTACGCCGTTGGTGGCTGGGGCCGATTCGAGCTTCTTCCGGTAAAGCTCTCCATCACATGCCCTAAGACGCTCTGCAGCCTGCTCTGGGGTGATGTCACGCTGAGGCTCGGCCATCATCTCGTAGCCAACTTGGAATTTGCGGACTGTGGCACTTCGCAGGAGCGGAGGGTAGAAGTGGATGTGGAAATGGCTGGACTCAATCTCGTCAGCTGTGCCGCTGAGAGGAGCCTGATGAAGACCCATGCCTTGATTTTGTTAGCCACTGCGTTGCGAGTCCAACTGTAGTTGACTTACTGTAAGGGAACTGAGTCTCAAAGAGGTTGTCGTAGCGTCTCGTAATCTCTGCTATACACTCTGCCAGCTGTGCTCGCTCGTCTTTGGTAAAGTCGACCAGCGACCGCTTATGCTGCTTTGGAACGACCATGATCTCAAACGGCCATACTGCCCAGTAAGGCACACCCGCCCAGAAGCTCTCGTTCTCAAAAACAGTACGGGTCTTCTCTTTCGATTCCAACTCGGCATAATCAACGAGCATGTGAGCGCCTCCTTGCTCTTTGCGGTATTTACTCAGCTGTACAAGTTCCAACGCAGGCTCTTCTGGTAGGGACGTGGTAGTCCAGACCTGTCCGTGCGGGTGGGGATTTGAGCAGCCCATTGCTGTGCCTTTGTTCTCGAAAATCTGCATGTACCGATACTGAGCATTCGGAACTGCAAGAGTGCCCTGTGATAGGGGCGGGAGAGTAGTAGCGGATGCAAGCTTGGCCAGTGGCGACTTGGGATCCAGATGTGCAACGTAGATGTTGGTCCAGGTCTCTATTATAGGAACGATCTGCGCCGGCGACATATCGGCAAGAGTGAGATTATGAGAAGGGGAAAAGCAGATAACATAGCACTTTCCAGTAACGGCCTCGGCGCGGAGTAAGCGAGAAGCGAGCGATCCGTCCTTGGTACTGGTGTCATACTCTTGCTGCTCTTCCATGACGGCACTGTAGTCGTTGACAAAGACAAAAGTTTTGTCGAATTTGGGGTTGTGTTCGCCATTTGCCCGCGTGTTTGAGGGACACAGATAGCACTGTGGACGGTTAGTGTTGGCATTGGATAAAGATAGAGTCCGGGCGAAGGGATACCTCTGGGTCATATTCTGGGAGGGTCGTCTTGGACGGAGACTCCTGCATGCCTCTGTAGGTTTTCAGTGGGCTGTCGAGTAACTCATGCCATCAAGATGCTTACTGCCATGGTCGCTTTGTGCGGTGCGGAGAAACTAGTATCCAGCTTCCTCGTAGGATGTTGAAGCGCCTGTGGGAGATGTCGTTCAGCACGGGGTCGGTCATGATGTAGAAATTGTTCCTGGTATGGGATCAGGGCGGGCGGTGGTGGTTAGTAGTATATATACAGCCTGGGGAATACGGCGAAACGGGCGCAGGGGCAGTATGCATGGCTCGTGAGCTAAATAGATGGGAGTGACGCCAGTCAGTGAAGGCCTGCACGCTAACTCGGTCAAGCTTTCCCTGTCGGCGGGATGCTAGCCGAGTCGAGTAGCGCACCCTCAGAATGGAGGTTCCCGAGAGCTTGCGCGTTGCATTGAGGACAGCAGAGCCTCTCCAACAACCCACGATACCTGCCGATTGGAGAATTAGCCCGCGACCCGTGAACGCAGGGTTTTTTCTCGAGCCCAACATGGCGGCAATGATGCCAAGTGCCGCAACGACCGGCAACCCCTACGACGACGATGCCGTGGAGCGTGACCTGATTGACCCCGACGATGGTGTGTCGCATACATGCATCTACGAGAGGCCATGGACGACGAGCTAACCACCACCAGCTACCCTCGATGACCTCGACGATCCTCTTCAGGGCACGTCGGACCGTGCGCCGCTGACGGGCAACATGCAGCGCGGCACTGCGCAGACGCAATCCTACCTGACGTCGAGCATTCCAGGCGAAGACCGCCGCGCGCCCACCAACACCATCGACGAGACGGTATGGGACACGCTGTCGCGCGACATCTTCGCCATCTGGGAGAAGATGAAGCAGGTCCTGTACCCCAAGTACCTGCTCGGCGGCATCATGCAGCGCGGCGGAGGCATTGGCGCAGCAGAGCGCGGTGAAGCTGACGGCTTTGGCGGCGGCCTCAGGAACATTGCAGGGCGATGGCCAGATGCAGATGTCATCCTCCAGGGCGGCATGAGCGAGGGCTTGCGCGACTGGGATCTCTGGGGCCCGCTCATCTTCTGCCTGCTGCTCAGTCTGTTCCTCTCGTGGGGCGCAAAGGGTGACCAGAAAGACCTCGTCTTCTCCGGCGTCTTCGCCATGGTCTGGATAGGCGAGGCAGTCGTGACACTGCAGATCAAGCTACTCGGGGGCAACATGTATATCCTCTCTGCAATCCTACACCCTTCCTGTACTAATGTCCTCCAGTGCCTTCTTCCAGTCCATCTCCATCATCGGCTACACCCTCTTCCCGCTCGTAATCGCCTCCATCCTCAGTGCTGTTGGCATACCCATGATCGTGCGCATCCCCGTCTACCTTGTCCTCATCGCCTGGTCCTTGGCAGCAGGCGTGAGCATCATGGGCGGGTCGGGCGTGGTGAGGAACCGTGTCGGCATTGCAGTATACCCCTTGTTTGTGTTTTACGTGGCTCTAGGCTGCCTCTGCTTCATCAGCTAGTGCTGAGATGTTATGCATGTAAAAGTATCGGGGCATGGTACAGCACTATCTGGCGTTTCGGACAAGCTGTGGAAATGGCTATCCATATCTTTTGCATATTTACTCCAATACAACAAATGGCAACATGTCAGATGCATTTTGAGACAGACATGAAAATAAGCTCGACGGACGTTCCCAAATAGCGGTAGACGCACAAGTTGCTGCTACCCGTGTTCATGTTTAGCCGTGTGTCTTCCCCACTTCGTCATTGGTCTTTGCAGCGACAACACACTCGACCACGACCGACAGAAGCGCCAGCACTTTGCACCCAGTTAGCCATTCACCACACACGGCGCGCCCTTTCTGCACTTCTCTCGTTCCAGTTGCGTTCTCGACTCGACGGTGTAATTAAACAGTGTTGCATTCGGCGCATTGTAGTGGAAATTTGGTACTAGAGCGCATTGACCGACTCCACTAACCACAAGGCCCATCTGCTCTGCTCTCCTCCGTTGAACGATCCAAGCCTGCAGCTCATAGCCACACCCGCTCTCCGACCTCGTTTCCCTATCTTACGGGACAAAGCGCCTTCACATCGCATTGCCGGCTAGTCAGCTCGCCACTAGCCTTGCCGACACACCACCTCCGCGCTGTTGTCCCCGTCGCCCACCGCAACTTGGTCTTCACCACGGAGCTTAGTTACTATTGCCCGTATTCAAGCTCGCACTGCTTCAATTCACACCCCGCAACTACATACGCAGCCCAGCAACCGACCGAGAAACGCTTCTCATAGGCCAGCATCTCCGGCCCTTCTTCCTAGGTACCCTACTCTGCTACCCGCGAAGCGCAACCTTGACATCCCCCGCGTCTGGAACACGACACATCCACCACTATGACAGACGCGCCCGAGAAACCGCAGGCCACAGCCACAGCTGCGCCCACTTCTCCAGCGCGGAGCGATAAGAGTAGCGACAGCGAAGGCAAGAATGTGAGGGAAAGGCTCAAGGATACACAGATCGATGCGCAGGCCACATCAGATCCCACCGCGAGTTCCGATCGGCGAATGCACGATGCACCCAACGGTAGCGCCAAAGCAGGCGAACACAGCGCTTCTGGCTCAGATAGTGAGCGCGGTCGGTTACGACGAAAGCGCAGCCGCGAGGACTTTGAGGATGAAGCAGAAATAGACAAGCACCCGGAAAAGAAGGTTGAACGGCATGCGCGCAAAAGGTCAAGGGATATTACAGCCGACCTGGAGGCTGCTGCGCCTAGAAAGCCTTCTCCCAGTACTATCACAAGCATCAAAGAGAACGATGGAGACGACCAGATGACATCGCCAAACAAGAATGCCTCCACGACGACTACGGCCGACAAAGCTTCAGGAGCCGGGACAAGCCCCAAGAACAAGCGGACACGCGATCAGGTTGAAAAGGATACCGAAGCTAGCGCAGGAGCTTCGGAAGGTGCATCTACCAACGGAAAACCTGCAGAGAAGTCGGCGGGCGATGAGCGAGACTCTAAGCGATTGCGAGACAAGGAGGAAGTTCAACCTACCACCGATGCAACAGAATCTAAAACCAAGGTATGGTGGCTAACGCTACATGATTGACACATACTGACACTCCACCCAGACATCGCTAACCGGTGGGTTTGCCAATTCTTCCGCCGTGTCACCTTTTGCCGCCATGGCACCGAAACCTCAAGAACCAAAGGCCTCCGACAAAGCCGAGTCATTACCTCAAACATCAGACGAAAAGTTTAAAGGATCTGGTTTCAGTGGCTTTGCCGCCTCATCTACGTCGCCATTTGGGGGCGTTGCTGCTTCCAAGCCAAATGCTAGTTCGCCATTCGGTGGGGCGAGCGCGGGCAAATTGTCCTCTTTTGCGGGAAGCGCAGCTCCTTCAATATCTTCAAGTGGTGGCTTCGGGTCGCTTGGAAGCTCAAGTACTTCCGGATTTGGTGGCAGCTCTTTTGGAGGATCTCTAGGCGGTGGTTTTGGGGGCTTCAGTGCAGCCAAGCCCATAGGCTCTTTTGCTGCCCCCGGTGGTAGCTTGGAGATTAAGGGTCTCAAGGAGAAAGAGAAGCCTTTTGGTGCAGCCGCAATCGGCGAACCATCTGATGACGAAGACGATGATGATGACGACCCAGAGAAGGCCACAGACAAAGAAGAGCGACATTCGAGTCAGCCACTCCTTTCACAACAGCGTATGTCAATTTCTGTTCATCTGAATTACAATGCTGACCGTTTCGTAGCACATGAGACCGGTGAAGAGGGCGAAGAGACTATTTGGACCGGCCGCGCAAAGCTTTACACTATGGCTGGCGAAGGATCGAATCGAGGGTGGAAAGAGCGTGGCGTAGGAACATTCAAGCTCAACATCACAATTGACGAACCCAAAAAGGCTCGTTTCGTCCTACGCGCAGAAGGCACCCATCGACTGCTGCTCAACGCTGCCGTCACAAGTAACATGGTATTCGGCGGCGATGCACAGGGCGAGAAGCCGAAGGATACTCGGTTACTCTTCAACTCGCCCAATCTCGAGGGCGAGCTGGAGATGCACTTACTAAAGGTATGAATATTATCTAGCCTTGGTATAGGTACGAAACTGACATTTTACAGTTGAGAGCTGAGAACGCGCAGCAGCTATGGGAAGAAGTCAAAAAAGTGCAAGAGGAACTGTAGGATACTCTTGTTCGAAAAGAAGCATTGGTAGCTTGGGAGTGGAAAAAACCGTGGTCGCTAGATCTGGATACGACACAATTGGTATTGCGCCATGGGGCTGCATTGAGGTCAATCAAGCGGAAGGACGAAGACATCTCGATGACTGAATGAGGGATGAGAGCACGACGACACGGCATTTGGAGGCTTCCTAAGTGATATCCACTGCACCGTACACATTGGTAGACCGGCGAAGCATTAGTCTTGCCTGCACAGTATATGTGGATAGAAGTAGAAACTCAAGAAAGAAACATTTATCATTGCTTATCTCTCATATTAACACTGTATCCTATGGTACATGCCAAACAGACCTTGTTTATCGGGTTTGGATTGTACACACAAATCGTCGTACTGGGTGCCTGAATCGATCATCTGCACATATCATTGCTTCTTCTAAGATTCCTTATATGCAAGAGCGACGCATCATCTACAGTCTGCTCGAATAGTCTAGACTACCAGAGTCATGCTCCGCGGACACATCGTCGCAATCCTTACTACATACGAGGTTCATGCCCGCTTATCAGCGCTCTGCATGAGAAATATCCGATTGGTGAGGCTTCTATGAAGGGCACAAAGGACAACCCGTTGTCTAAATCGAGATGCGGCGCAGGGCTTGCTCCCAAACATCGGATTGGACAACGCCATGTACGACGTTGCACGATGGAGCGCTCGCTGCCTGTTGCTGTTGCTGCGCCGCGTTCCTTCATTAACTGGCGTTTGCATATATAGGATCGAGCTCACTGAGCCCTAGCTTGATGGATCTGCCGAATCAACCTTGCCGACGTATTCACACAGAAAAATAGCACTGACAAGGAAAGACGAGAAGAGCCAACATACTTGCTTATATCTACTTTACGATCCATTAACTACAGTATCCTTTCAGATCGACTTTGGTTGGCTACTCAATTCGAAACAAGAAGAAGTGATAAAACCTAAATGCTGGCATTTCTCCTTCCCTCGTACTTGACTTGCCGTCACACTCATACACCAACACTTGCACCCATCTTAATGGCAAATCAAACACCCCCACCACAACGCCGATGGAAACAGCTGTATGAATCTCTCCTCCTCAACATTGCAGACTGGCAGCGAGAATCATCATATCCTTCTTCCTCACCTCTTACAGAGACTAGTCACCATCCGGTAAGAATGTCCAAGACAGACACCTTGAATGTGCGACACTAATCCAGGGAATTTAGGAGCCTGTTACAGCCAACAGCATGGAAAACATCAAAACGGGTTACGCGCATGGGCGTTTGTTGGAAGAAGGACGAGGGAATACCGAGTCGAAGGCATTGCTAGCGACGGGGAGTCAAGCTAAGATCTATGAAAAGGATGTGGACGAGGGAGGAGAGGATGAGACCATTGAGCAAGCAGGGAACAATGATGGCAATATACAAGACCACCCGAACCTACGGATGCAGTGGAAATGGACTCTAGTGTCGAAACGAGACACCGAATAGCGGACCGAAGAGTAGGAACCCAGACTTGCAGGTATCAGATGTTCCTTTGCTCGCGTAGTGTTCAGCGAACAGAATTGACCTAGCTTCTTTCCCGATGATTTACGTCTTATGAATCGTAATAATACAACCTCTGCCCAAGCACTTCGCATTGTGCTCCTTCTCTAAATTCCTCCATTTTACCTCTTCCTCGTACATCCAACACCTTCAGCATTGGCTTCGCCGCATTGACCGGTTCCCAGATACCCGTAGTCTTCACCATCTTGCTTGTGTTCGTAAAACCTAGTGCCGTCAAGAACGTTTCGTCAGACGTCGGATTACCCGTTCGTGCAAAAGCCGTCCAGGTGTCTACAATGAACTGGCAGAATGGGATGTCGTCGTCGTTCCGCAGCGGCCGCCCTTGAGGGATAGTGACGCCGAAGACGGAAAGCAGCTCGCCGGAATGGCGTTTGTAAACTACGTTGCGATTGAGTCAGCAATGTTTTTTACGTCAAAAGATACTCCTAGAGCTGGATAATCCACAAGGCGCATGAGGATCACCAAATGGATACACTTCTGTGACTGACGCTCCACAGGCTGGAGGATTTGGACTCCAGGCTTCAATCTGATATGCCCTATCAAACTCGTAGCTATACACACTCTTGAACACCGCGTTCTTTGCAGCAGTATACGCTGTGCTTTGGGCTAGACACCTGAACATCACATCCGTGGCTACCCGGGACGTAAGATTGAAGATGCGTAGAGTGCTATTCGCACCTTCAGGGAACGGGAACGAGTTCGAAGAAAGGATAGCCGAGGCAGGAAAGCCTTGCGAGGATAGTACAGCAGATACATTAGACCAAGTAGGATACGAGGTGAAAGATGATCCGTCGTCACGCATAATTCCAGACATTATGGGTATATTGAATCTTGGTGCTGTTGGACCGAGAGGAAGGGTTGCGTTCGTCAAAAATATGCCGTCTACCACCGGGTATCTAAAAGTCTACTAGATCGGAGCTCCGTCTGTTTCTCAGCTTAAGGAAAAGTACAATCATGTTTGATTGACGGTTTCCACTTGATAGGTGTTCGAAGTGAAAAGGTAGTGCAGAGTCATGAAAGAGGTAGGATGTGTTCTGAGAGAATGCGAGCGATAGGCGAGAATTCCCGGTAGAGCCTAGAGGTGTTTGATGGAGTTGGTGTGGGAAACAAAAGATCCATATCTAAGCCTAGAGTTTCTCCATAAGACTGAGAGGGAGAGGAATATCAAATGACCACCCAATAAACACGAGGTGTGATCTGAAATCTCTCATTCTTGAATATGAGTAGATAACTGACCTTGCAACAGTTCCGGACGGCTGTGAAACGTTTCTAATGCCGACCGAGGCAAGAGGATCTGCTTTCCGTAGGCAAGCGACTGCGTCTTCACCCTTCAATGGCGTACACCCTACTTCAGCGATGGCTGCCGCGGTTCGGTTTGTAGCTTCTTCTATGGTTAGGTACCTGGAGAAAGTGGAGGCGTATTCTACGCCTTGTGGCGTGCTCATCATGATTGCTCCGCAGACCTCGTTTCGCGCTTGTGGTGACGCAAGCAGAGCTCTAACCGATGCCGCTCCTGCACTCAGCCCGAAAACAGTAATCCTGTCCTTGTCACCTCCGAAGTCCTCAACGTGCGCGCGAAGCCAACCAAGCGCAACGCTCTGATCATGAAGCCCATAGTTTCCTGTTAACAAAGTGTTGCTAAGTGCTAGAAAACCCAAAGTAGACAATCGATAGTTTATGGTCACCAGAACAACGTCTCCCTGAGGGGCCATGGCGTTACCGTCGAGTGTAGTATCGCTAGCTGCTCCTCCGGTAAAACCTCCGCCATATATCCATACCATAACAGCTTTCCCTTTACGCGTTGCATTATCAACATTGGGGAGATGCGGCGTCCATATGTTGAGCGTGAGGCAATCTTGGGCGCAATCCGGGGTCCTTTAAACCCCACATACAGACTGTATACACTGCGGGCTGTAATCGAGTGGGGTGATATTGGATCCAGGTCGGGGAGGATAATACATCGAGTGGGCGAAACGAGCTGGGATCGAGGCGTATTTGATGCCGAGGAAACGGAAAGACGAAGAGGATCGTTCGCGAAGACCTATGATTCTTGCATTGTTAGTCGCTACTGCTACCTGACGATCCCGATCGTTTCCTGCATTGAAACAAAGTACTGGTAAGTAGGTTTCGCAAGGATAATACGCCAGTTCAGCACGCGCAGTAACTGCTGTGCAGTTCGTCGTCGAATTGCTGCTGGCCCAGTAGACACCAGCCTTATAGGCGGCGTTCGCATAGTCTAAGTACCGGAGGAAACTCAAGTCCTCGAGATGGCGTTGGGGGTCCCACAGTTTTGTGCCTAAAGCAGCGCACTTTGAGGTCGCAACGGAGTAGTTGAAGGATGTGCTCAGCAAAGTGCTTGCTGCATGCCGAGTTGTGAGGTTGCCATACAAGTCATTGTGTGTGATAATTGAGAAATCGGATCCAATTGATTGTGGGGTGGGAACGATTGTTGCGGTAGAGAAGAGAAGAGTCAGTGAGATGGTGAGAAGGCCAACAAGTACAGCCATCGGGGAAAGTGAGGAAGGGACAAGTCGTCCCTGACGACCCCGCAGGACATGTTGACGACAGGCGATATATCCAGGAGGATTCTATTGCTTGGATGGTGCGCGGGTGGTAAATTACCTACGGCACATGATATCACGCCTATTCGTGGGACATATGGCGGCTGGACAAACTACGGTAGGAGCCGGAGGACACAGGGCGGCAGGAGGGTGGGATTCCATGGGCGCAAGCAAGATACGGGCTCGGTGTCGAGGGATATACATAGAGCTCACGATGAGGCCACGGTGCTGGTGGGTACCCACCCGGCTGCATGTTGGATGACGTTTGGGTGGCGAAGTTCAATCCAATGTTTCATCAGCGTTCTGGGCGGGGCAGCAGCTTATCGTTGTTTATTCGCCCCGGCGCGCCTGCCCCGACGAATCGCTCGCGCCTTCGGTCGCCACAACGCGCGACGAGAAACGACGAGTTTCTGCAAAGGCAGCGCGCAGGTGGAAGAGACAGAGAGAGAGAGGGAGGGAGGGAAGGCGCTTCGAGCAACGGCTTTGGGCCTCCATTCCATCGCAGGTTTGGGACGGCGCTCGGCCCCCCGAACTTGATCTGCGCGCGACTGCATTCTGAATGGCGCTATCCCCATCGGGACTGGCTCGGCTGCATTCTCATTATCCTCTTGATGCCGTCGATGCTGAAGCTCATACCACTCCCTGTTCAGACGCGATGAACGCCAGCTCAAGGCTTTGCTCGCATGTCCCCAGCCACCGCATGTCCGTCTGGGCTGCGCCTTGGAAGGCGCCAGCATGGCGACACGCGCCCGAATTTGATCTCGCACTTGCTGTAACCCCTCGTTGACTAATTACATCTAGCGTTCACTCCTGTCCATGTCCTTGGTGGTGCACGGACCCCGCGAGCTAAGCCCTTCTCGCTCGCGAGAGTTGGGGCCATTCATTCTCAGGACATTCGCACGCTCCATTCTCCACTGCCATTCTGACTCCCATACCGCCTGACGCCGCCCTTGCCGTACCGTCGCCATCTGCAACACTGACCTCGCTGTCGCCTCGACTGTCGACGCCGACGCCTTTGATTGCGCGCGCCGCTTCCTTTGTCACAGCAGCCTTCAGCCATCTCCTCCCTCCGAAGCCGCCTCGAGCCTCGACCCTAACCACGCTGCCTCACCGACCGGCGCATTACATGCAATCCAACACACACGGTCCCAGTACCATCTCTTCATGATAGGCTCCCCGTCACGCTCTCAGAGTGACGTTTCGAGCCCCCCGTCGCCATCCTGCCCCCGGTCCGCTCTCGCTGCAACCGGCCACGCAACCCTCTTCCCCTTAGCCACAACCTCTCTTAGCTAGACGAATCGTCACAACGTCCGGCTGTCCGTTGAAGGCCGTCACTTGATCCGTCTCGAGTCGCCGTCGCTCGCCCTGCTCTTCCTGGTCGCGCGTTGGGCGTCATGCGATCCCAAGAATACAGAGCTTGAGCACCCACTACATGACACCACATACAAGCGAGCCTCACTGCCAGATTATGACAGACGTCTCGTCGATTCAGGCGTATGCTGATCATCAGCCGGCTCCTCTCGCCCTCTACGCTGGCCCACCACCACCCACCTTCGCGACCGCCTCACCTCCACTAGAAGCCACCATCGACGAAGAAGAGTCCTCCACGATAAAGTGCATCTGTGGATACTCCGATGACGATGGTAACACGGTATTGTGTGAGAAGTGCGACACGTGGCAGCACATTGTTTGTTACTACGAGTCTGCCCAACACGTTCCCGATGTACACGAGTGCGCAGACTGTCTCCCGCGAGCCATCGACTCAAAAAGCGCTTCTGAGAAGCAACGCCTCCGAAGAGAAGTACATAGCATCGGCGAACGCAAAGGCAGACCGAAAGCATCAACCAAGAACCCTAAGAAGCGAACCAAGGATACCCACGGCCCCGTACAATCTAATGGCTGGCCAATGCAAACTAACGGGGACCTTCAATACACCCCTGATCGGAAGAGTGGTAGCCCACGAGATCAGCCACCGCCCAACAAGCGTCCCAAGACGAGCCATCGTCCTTCTGGATCCGTGGGCGTTGTTAGCCAAGCGCCAGCTCTCGTGCCAACATCACGAAAACGAGGCGGCTCGGTTATGCTCAATGGCCACAGTCCTGTCAAATCACCCACGAACCCAGAGGCTCCTATCGAGGACTACTCGTCCGAGTTCATGCACCTCTATCGACAACCCGAACCACCCTCAGCTGATTCCAACTCGTACACCCGCATCGATGTCGCAAACGACATAGCTATGTGGCTTCAAGACCCGGAAGCCCTTGCCGAAGCAAGTGGAGGGAAGAAACCACAAGACATTTTCTCACGCATTGATATTACTATTCAGGAACTCGAAACGTCAACTGCGCCAGAGATCGTGAAACAGACAGATGTCGACTCGGGTATACTAGCGCATGGCCTGCACCCACAATGGCACTTCATTACCGCCGAGACCCCAGTACCAGACGGTGGCTACGTTGGAGAGCTCAAAGGTCTCATCGGACGAAAGGCAGACTACTATTCCGATGCATCCAACAGATGGGACTTGCTCCGACACCCCGAACCCTTCGTCTTCTTTCCTCCTCACCTACCAATATACATTGACACCCGTCGGGAAGGCAACATTCTCCGATACTCACGAAGAAGTTGCAACCCGAACATGTCTATGAAGATTTTGATTGACTCCAGCAACGACTACCACTTCTGCTTCTTAGCGACGCGCGAGATCAGCCCGGGTGAGGAACTCACCGTTGGCTGGGACATTGATTCCGAAGTACAAAAGCAGCTTGCCAGAGTCGTCACCAACGGCGCCAAAGAAGGATTCAAGAGAATACAGCCTTGGGTTTCTTGCGTCTTAGCTAACTTCGGAGGCTGCGCTTGCGACACATCCAACGGCAACGAGTGCCTTCTAGAGCGCGCTCGTCGCAACACGACTACAGAGCAACCCACGCTGAAGACCAAAGGCAAAAAGGTCAAAAAGTCTCAGGTTTCTCCTATGAGTACGGGTCACGCAACCAACAGTCGTGCTGGTAGCGAAACTGCCAACCGTGATACAATCGACGAAGACCAAATGGACGCTCGCTCCACGTCTGGCTCGCACAAGTCGAGCAGCCGCGACATTACACCAGCAACCCACTTCTCGTCCTTGGAAGGCGATAAACTCTCTGAGCGCGAAAAGAGGAAGATCCAGCATCAAGAACTTTTGTTCCAGAAGCTTGATCACGATGAGCATAAAGGCAAGAGAAAACGAACCAGTGCTGGATCGAATCTGAATACTCCGAGCATCTCTTCCTCGGTAAGACGCTTGTCCTCTTGCCCGATTCCTATTGCTAATGCAGATACTCAGAGACGACTCGGACATCCTGAACCTTCGCCCTCGGCTCGCCATCGCGAACATAGTCACGGTGTAGCACGCAAAACGTCGGGCAGCTCTACAAAGACCAACGGCCGTCCTGCGCCCCGTCCAAAGCCCGTCTACGTCGACTCGTCGACGCAGACAGTTGATGATAACGATGTAAAGTCACAAGCATGCATCAGGCCACGTCAAATGAAGCCCCCGTTATCATTTAAACGTAAGCTTCTGCAGCAGGCGCAAGAGGACAAACTACAACGCGAGCGAATGCGATCCACGTCGGTCAAGATGGAGGCCAAATCGCCAGCTTTGAAGGATGTGTCGTCAAATAAGCCGTCGCCGCTACCACCATCTCCACCCCTTGAGGAGCCTTCTGCGATGGACATCTCTACAGAGCCTGCACCCGATACAAGACACAAAGAGCTAACACCTGCAAAGGAGCCTACGCCGCAGCCTCCAGTGGACGTAGAGATGACTGACTCTGAGGATACAACTGTCAAAATCTCCGAACCGAAACAAGAAGAGCCAGCTGAGGTATCTGCTCCGGAACCTCCCAAGGAAGCTCCAAAGGAGGCTCCTCAACCGTCAATACAACCCCTCGACCCTCCGTGGTCAGCTTCGACGCCAGCTGAACCATCTCCGAAATCTACGGCCGGCCTGACACCAAAGCCTGTGGATCTTCATGTTGAGATGCCTGCGAAGCCCGATTTGGTCAACGCCAGCAACAACCGCGCTGTCACCCCTGGATCGACTTGTCCTATTCTCAACGAAAGCACAGTCGCGCAATCACCGGGCGCCTCCATTATTGCATCGCCTTTCTCGCCTGCTGTAAACAACGCTGTCAAGCCTGCACCAGCGCGCAAGAAGCTTAGTCTAAGTGACTACACCAACCGCAACCGAAAAACCAAGCTGGCGCAAACACAGTCGACTGGCTCGAACGCTACGCCGCCCCTGAATTCGCAATCGACAAGCTCGCCAACGTTATCGACGGCTAGCCTGCCCAATACGAACTCACCTCCTCCCAAGGCTGTCGAAACGATCCTCCCACCCGTTGCAGAGGAAGAGAAGCCGTCTGAAGTATCCGTCGCGCCTACTATGGCGACTACTTCTACTTCGACATCAGCGACATGATTCACGATACCCTGCTCCTGTTCAGAATCAGTTCGCGGGCCGCAGGGCGACCCGCGGTTCTTTCTTTCTATCTTTGGAGTGTAACAACATGTAATGATTACAAGTCGAATGATCCTTTGTTTTCTCACTTTTCTATTTCCTTCTGTTCTTATCCTTTTCTTCCAACGACTTGAAGTGTTCGGTCGGCTTACTTCATATGGATTTGATGGAGATTTCAAAAAAGCGGGATACTTCCAATGAGCTCTCTATTGCACGCAAGTTAGCCTCCTGGTCTACGTACGGATGGAGCTGGTGTGGTGCTGATTGGCTCTCACGCTGAGCGTCCCAGGGATGAAAGAGATAGAAGTTGAGAAGACGGGCAGCCCTGTTCTTCTCTACTGCGCGACCTGAAGCCGAATCTTGAAGCCGCGTCCTCTATTGCTGAGCGTCTGTGTTTAGCCGAGATGAAATGAAAACAAGGATTCACATGTGAATACTATCATCAAACAGTCACTGGTCCCTTTATGTTGCATCTATAGGTGTGTTATGACAGTCGAACATGACGCCCGTTGACCAGGCAGGGTACCGAGGGATTTGGAGCTAGAATACATTACATGATGAAGTCTTTGACAATAAAGTTCTCCAGTGTATATACATCCATTCGGCTACTATCCATCTATATCATACTCAATTGAACCTCAGAGGAAGCGTGCTTCCACATCACAAAAGGAGACATACATTAAGAGCAATAGAAACCCCAGTACAAAACCGAGTATCGAAAGAGAACGAACAAGACAGACGAAAACCATGTGCCCCCTGCAAACAACCACTCCTCAGCCTACTGTCTTTTCGCCAACTTCCTCCCACTTTGCCTCTATCATTCTCGCAGGTGCAATCTCCCCTGTGACAGCCCTCCCGTCTATTTCTGTAGGCCCAATCCGTCCCCCGTTGATATGTTTGGGACTATGTCTGTATACGATCTCATAGTAGTTTGGTATCGCTTCTTCTACCTCGTTGGTAGCAGCAGTGGCAGCGGCAGCAAGAACGTGTGGTGTTGATGCTATACCGTGCGCATGGGAAGGAGATGGAGATATGATGTCAGGGCTGTCGGCGTTGGCGTTGTTGCCAATGTGAGAGGGATTGACGTGATCGTTTTGAAGAGTTGCTGGACAATCTCCTGTAGGTGAGAGTTCAAATGCACCACCTAGGGAGCGTTGGGAGGATGCGTGGTGGAAGCTAGGTGGGGGTTGTCGTCGTATAGGAGGAATTGTATGACCGGGATGACCGGTAGGGTTGTTGATATCGTATTTATACGCACTCTGCTGTTGCTGTAGATCCTGTTGCGAAGATGATGGCGGCGGCGCATGAGGTAGAAGAGAAGGTGCATGAGTAGAAGGCGGAGGCGGATGAAAGTACGATGGTACTGGCGTACTATAACTTGGTACATTATTGTACTGATTGTAGCTGTATTGCTGGTATGCAGAATCTACAATGGGTGGCGACAAAAGAGGCGTTCGTTGGTATTGGTGATAGATACCCCCTACTTCGTTCCCACGGAGGATGGCAGGATGAGTGTGACCGGTTTCCGAGATCGCTGGCAGACTCCTGTTGTTTGGGCCTTGGCGTACCTCTCCTGTGTTTTGATCGACTTTGACTCTTAGGCCCTTTGTGCGGCCCCAGAAGAAGAAAAGCAAGGCTGCAATGATGACAACGGAAGAGCATGCTATGGCAACTCCTGCAATGGCACCAGTCGAAAGGCCATCCTTCTCGCTGCTAGTACTATCACTGAGTCCTGCTGTCCCTGAACCAATGGGTGTATTACTCGACTCTGGACTCTCCGGTGGAAATGGTTCGCCAGGGTTGAGCATGTAGCTGCTATCAAGCGCTAGTTGATGTTGCCGAGCGACACTGGTCGTTGTGTTCGGATTGATAACCCCGACCATGCCGTAATTTATACAAGAACCTACAGCCGAACAGTAGAAGAATATGGGGTCGGTGTTTTCGATCTCGATGCTGTAGGTTGGTGGGGAGGTAAGGACAGAGTCGACGGGCTTAAACCCGCTGAAGAAACCAGTTTTGCCTTGCCCAATCATTTCATAGGGGATACATGGGAAGCCGTATTCCGCGCGCACGACGCTATGGTTCAAAGGATAAAAGGCAAACTCTATCGTCTTTAAGATATCAGTAGGGCTCCAATGTATTTGTTGGGTTGCTGACAGGAAACGATAAGTACGAGAGCCTCTTCCTGGTCGCCTGCAGAAGATGACTTACATCGCCAATGTTAGCGTTTGTTGATTCAGGTTTGAATTTGTGGTCTGCTAGGCCGACTGAAATGGTGTGTGTCTGTACAGCTGCAGAGCTTGTCGAGCTTGAAATATTTGCTGGGGTCGACGATGCAGTAGGGCTACTACTGTTGAGATCGAAATCATCCTGCGCAAAGCATATGGATGGGAGAATAACAAACATTAAAGAACAAACTACTGATGCAGAAGCCCAGAAGGGTATTCGACGTGTTGCGGAGGCCATGCCAGAAGTGTCGGCTTTCGAGGGGATTACAGTGGTCTTTGGATATCAAGGCAAGGCATAGGAAACGCCAAAGGAAGAGGCGACCTCGAAGCCTACCAAGAAAAAGGGGTCAGAACGGATTGCGATAATCAGAAGCGCAACATGTCAGCCGTACCATTGCGGTGGCGATGCAAATAAAGGCTCGGAGGCAGATCAAGCGACCGGAATTGTAAGAGGAATAGCACAAGATGGAACATAAACCTAATACTTCTTATTGTGAGTGCCCATATTTATGGCGTACATGTTGAGTTTCTATTCGTCGAGTATTAGTGTAGTGTCAGCCTCGAGAGCAACGAGACAAAGAGAACACGCTTCAAGGGTTTCGTGGCCCCATGTGGTTGCTGCAAGGGCGAAACCAAAATGAACAACAAAGCCTGTCAGTCTTGTGCGCCCGCTAGTGGTGGATCTAGGAATGTGGCCATTTAGAACTCTTCTTGGAACTTATCGTAGCCGCGACCATTATCTGCGACAAGTTGTTGTGGTCTTTGGGTAGCTCAGGGTCTGAGTTGCCCCTACAACTCGCCGCATGACGTAGTAGGAAGCGGGCGCATGGAAGCGAAACGACCGCAATTGCAGTCATTCGCCAAGCTTCCCAGAATGTGATAGTTCACCGATATGGATGCGAGACCGTTATTCTAGTGCTTGTGTGACTGCATGGCAACGATTACAAACAGGCAAACAGCAACGAAAAGTCGAAAATATTTAGTCTTTTAGTGGCTGCTATACATAGTTGAATTAGAAAGAGAGGAGTGGTCCAACAAAGCGTACCATATGGTAATAACAGCCGCATATGGCCCTGGTATATTCCGCACTATCGCTCACATAAAAATCATAAGCTGCGTACAGCATCCGTCATCAAAGTCGTGTGGCATGAAGGCTTAGTGGCACTTCTCGGTCGGTGAGAAGACCGCCCTCGTCATTGCCGCTAGTGACACCACGTCGCATGTCGATGTTGGGTCTGTTAGATGCCAAAACGCGGAGCTGGTCTTTCAGCGAAGACCTGGGTCGCCGAATCCAAATGGGTCGTTGCTTGACGAGCTATTGGACCCCGACACATAACCTGATGGTGCTGCAGATAGTTGTTTGCCAAATCCGGGGTTCGGTAAAGGGTTCCAGACTGGGAAGCCTTCTGGTGGCTGACTCTCCCCTATTGGTTTACCACGAGCATAATCGACGAGACTGCCGTTGATGCCAGTAAGTGCCCAAGCAAAGACAGCGACGTCGCGAATGCTCTGCATGAAGTTGTTCTGGAATTCCATGGACGGTCCTGCCTGCACCATAGCTGGATGTCGGGCGCCCAAAGGATATTGAGGCATCTGTTGTGGAGCCGGATGGAACACGGGTTGTGTTGCCCATGGTGCGGCGTAGATGCCGTTGTATTGCTGTGCTGGCTGGGCAACAGGCATTGTGCCTGGTAACATGGGGCGCGCACGTCGTAGACACACGACCAGCCCATCGGAAGTACAGGATATGACAGCTTCGAGTTCGATAGGGTCGTCGCGAACCTCAGACCGAGGCGAACTAATAGAGGATATCGATGAGCGGGGCGCAGAACCACCAAACATGACGTGGTGCGGGTCGCTTGGATTGCGGTTATCGCCAGAATTGGTACGCGACGCAGACCGCTCCTCGCTGTTATCTGTGGTGTGGTTTGAGTCTGAAGGATGTCTGGCTGTACCGTTGGATGTAGAGTGGCCGCCGAGACCTACTCCACCCTCAGACTCATCGTCGGATGTGACATCTGTCATGATATCATCTTCGCTCTCAGAAGACGAGGCATCAGGTGCGTCGTCCTGTCGAGGGTCGCGAAAAAAGAAGCGCATATAAGCGATAGAGTCATTTCCTTTGGCCGACTCTAGACAGCGGACAGCGTCTTCAAGACAATTGGGAGCAATGCAGTAATAGAAGCTGCGTCCCTTCATAGCCTCTCCAGAGATACCTATAATCTGCTCAATGCCACTGGTTGCGTACATGACAGTCAGGGTTCGCGTGAACCTATTGAGGAACAAGGCAGCTCGCGGCTCATGAGTCTGATCATCGGGGCCGAGATCAAACTTGCTAGACAGATGCGATAACATGTGGTAGCGCGGGTCCTTGGGTGACGAGGCGAACAGTTTGCGCACTATAGGAGCCTCGACCGCACGTTCTGATTGGCTGTGGTCAGCGAGCCGCAAGGACCAAACGGGTTAGAAGACTTACTCTGGCTCTGCATACCATGTCTATAGATGCTAGTGCAGCAGACAAGGACATCGTAGACGACGGAGAAGCAACATTCGCAACCGACCCATTCCCCCTGGCGATTCTTCAGGCGGCAATAGGACAAGACAGCGGCCTTGTCCAGTCTCACTCCCCGGCTGTGATGCGCCCTGGCCAGAGGAAGTTCATCTGGATGAAAAAATTGCCACACGGACCGATTGACTACCTCGTCGGGCGTGTGACCGAGGATGTCGACAATGGAATCGGAAGAATATAAGATGTGGGCGTCATCGGAGAGGTCTGTCGGGAGTGAGAAATGGGTGGCTCGTAGGGAGGGTTAGTTGACATACCGTGGATGGTGATGAAGGTGGTATCCATTGTGGCAGGAACGAGGGAGCAAAGTGGCTCGGGATGAGTCGTTGGTGCTCTACCGCACTCGTCCTGGTATGTCGAATTTAATCATTCGCTCTGAGACGGGCGGTGGAAGATTGTGAGGATGTCGGACAGATCAGGCGAGGGAGCGTAGGCGGGTCAAATAGGCAGGGTCCAAGTGGCACAGAGGCGCACAAGTTCGGCTAGAGGAAAGAGTAGGGAGTGAAGGTGGTGCAGCCCGGGCCTGATGCGGCACCTGGGATGGGATGGGATGGATGAAAGGTGGTAATGTGTACGAGTCAGTCGGTATGATGTAATAACACAATCACGAAGCGGCCAGTTGCCCCTCACTGGCAACGAGGCAGGAGTCGCAGCGTAGAAGAATAATATGAGCAAGCACGCGGCGGACGGCTGCCTGAAGCGGCTAGCGGAGGATCGGAGAGAGTGCAGTTGGGTCGTGTGCATAAACCAGCGAAGTGAGCAGCGTCGACGTTGGAGCTGGCTCGGCTGCCGTGACCAAGCCCAGGATGGCGGGACTTGTCGAGCACTGCTGGTTGGCAGGGGGGAGAAAAAGCCGGCCGGATGAGGCGAAAGGATTGCTGCGAGGCGTAGAGGATGCGAGAGGATGCTCCTGAGATGTGATGGGATAGGATTGTAGGGTGAGGCATGCAAGCTATGTGCAGAAAATGAGCTGACGAACGGCGAACCCTTGTTCCGCCGTCCAAGGATCGACGCGAGACTGGCAGTCAACGGCGGTTAGCAGCTCGTCGGCAGCGGCGCGGGGCAACGGCAGTCGTCCTAGTACGGAGGACGAGGGATGACGCATCAGGCCATTCACGCCGAGCAGTCGGCTTTGGACGCGTCGCACACGACGGATGGAGAGGCTGGAATGCGCATCTACACTGCCTGCAACGTGCGACTGTCACCCATGCGACTAGCCTTGGCAGTACCGACGTCGTCGACGACTGCCGTAGACGATAGATATGCAAACTCTACTGCCGCGCTAGCACTACCAAACACCTCACGGACGCGTCTCCGACTTGCTCTCACCACCTGTCCCCCAGCTCCTGCCCAGGGCGATAACCGCTTCACACAGCATCGAGCTGCACTGCTACCGGCCCTCCCTGTTCCCTTGCTGACCTTGGCTGGTGGTACTGTCCTGGCCGACCTTTGTGCTTGTCACCCCGAGCCCTCAACCGAACAACATCATCGACGATCATCCCCCAAACTACGCCACAAGCCACATGCAAGACTCGTTCTCCCTCTTTCCACTTCTTGTTGGGCCGCGCACAAACCGGCGCTCATTTGCCCTGCTCTTCCGCGTCGACGCGTCCTTTACCTGTTTGCTGCAAGTGATAGCCTCTTTGAGACTAAGAGCCCTGTCCCTCGCTCTCGCCTCATCCTAATATCCGATTGGCATACTCAACTTCGGACCCAGGCTACCTGCCACGAGACCCGCGCCCTGCATATCACCTCCATCATATGCACGCTAACATGGACTGCAACTGGGAACTGCCTACTCTGAGGGGCACAGTGAGACTAGGCGTAACCCATGCCTTGCGCCCACCTTTTAGCCACCACTAACACCTCCCCAGGCCCAAAACAAGTCTAGGCTTAGCTCCAGTGAGTCAGGATGCGCATTAACCATCACTTCATGCAATACTCATCACGTCCCAGCCCAGTTCTACGATGTAAATTTCTATCCCTATACCGCTCCCGGTCTCGATCCTGTTTTCGCCGTATGCGGAGGTCCATTTGTATGTATCACCCTGTAGGCCGTCAACCTTGTACTCATCAGCCAAGACTATCATATGTAGGTGCATATTGGGCAAGAACAGCACCGTCGAAATTCTGCGGTGGTTCCAAGACGAAGAGAACACCACAGAACACGGTACACCCGACGACAAGGTAGGCATATAACCATATGGCTCGGCCTGGCTAATCACTCTACTTCTTGCAATCAGCAGCTCAATTACAACAGCGTCGTTTGGTCCCAGGCTGAAAATGGTGACCCTCTTGTGTGCGTAACAGGCGACTCTCGCATCAAGATTCTGAACGTCCGAACGGGGAAGCTCGCAACAGTATGCTCTTTATCGCTAGTCAGGCTGCATATACTGACATTGCACGTAGACGCTGATAGGTCATGGCGACGTATTTATATCTATTCCTTGATGCGACTTGGCCTCTCTAACACCAACAGTCTGTCAACGACCTTGCCATATCCCCAGTAGACCCCACTATTCTCGCATCTGTGAGCATTGACCATAGTCTCCGGATATGGAGCTTACATCCGTCGCACGAGAAGCAGCCCCTCGGAGCCATCTGTTATGGGCAAGGCCACAAGGACCAGGTGCTGACGCTTGTGTGTGGCTTGTCAATCTGGCCAATACAATATGCTGACATTGGTAGGCATACCATCCCAAAGGACGGTACATCCTAACGGCAGGTATGGACACTAGGATCAATCTGGTAGGATGCTTTAACCCTGACCTACTGACGGTTTGAAGAAGAGATTCTGACGAGTGAAGTGGGCCGTACCCGATGATCTCGACAAGCACGCTGGAACCGACAAGCCAGCCATAGTGCACTATCCGCATTTCTCTACCACTGAGATCCATACCGACTTCGTTGACTGGTAGCTTCTCTTTCTCGATTTTTGCCTAATGGTCGCTTACCCCCTATAGTGTCCAATGGTACGGTGATTTGATCCTAAGCCATGCGTGTCGCGAGAACAAGATCATACTCTGGAGTATTGACGAGTTCAATTCCGACCGTTCGACAGTCCCTTCCGCTCCGATTCCCTCCTCGAGCGCAGTTCACAGTAGAACCCCAGTTACTATTCCAGCAAACTCTACTTCAAGTACTCGGTCAGCATGGGGCGGACGCTTCCAAAGGCTTTTACAGTTCGAACTGCCACATACTAATCAATTCTACATACGATTTTCCGTTTTCCACGAGCTTGGCCGACACCCGATCTTGGTCGCAGGCAACGAGAAAAGCAAGACCTTCTTTTGGGATCTACAACGTCTAGAGAATTCTGGCACCGGAGAAGATGGCTCTCAGAGCACAAAAGGTTTACCACCAGCTCTACCCAGGCACGTGCGAGAAGGAAGTTCTGCATCCACTGCATCATCTGCTATCAGTGCTGGCTCGGGTAACACTAAGGCCAAACAACAGAAGCTAAAAGAACAACCTCGGGATCGAGGTGTATCCGATCCTTTTCGTTCAGTAAAAGCTCACAAAATCGTCGAGACTCCGAAGTACAAAGCTTTCGCATTCCGCCACTTCGCCTGGAGCCGTGACGGTCAGTGGTGTGTCGGCGTCGGTGACTGTGGTACCATCAACATTTTCAACCGTTGGGGAGAGAGCGGTGTTCCTCCAATCGACCCAGATAAAGAGATACCCATGCAAGATGATGACCCAAAGATTAGTTAGTCTAACCGAACGCCAAAACCCCTAGTCATTCGAATTCGGGCCTAGGACAAGCGTTAACTGACATGGTATGAGCAGACAAGGAGAAAATCATTGACTCACTAGAAGGTCTTTGTGAGGCACATGCCCTGCGGCGACAGATGGCGGCAGATCAAAACGAGTTATTTGAAGAAGATCTGAGGCCTCTTCTTGACGAGTATGTGTCCAGTCTCCCAATTCATGAAAGGGAGTTTGCACTGTCACATCGGAAGCGGTAGATTCGCATACGGACAAGATAATCGTATACCCGAGCACGACGGTGTAATGTGGCCAGCATCACCACAGTCACTTCCATTGGCTCGCATTGGTTACAAAAGCAACTGTTAGTCCATGTTTAGCGAGATAAAAGTGGTTGATTCGCAATGGAGATATTGGGCATAGTTTCCAACGGCAACAATAGGCAGGATTGAGGTTGACACAGATTAAAATAGGATCTCTAGGCAGCCAAACACGCGCTGGGAATCTGCCACTCGGACGTACCACGAAAAATTACACGGCTTTAAACACTGTCCATTTTCTCAAGTCTTTGTTCATCTTCAACACGATTTCTTAAGCTTGGTATCGCCCACCACTTTTATCGCAATACAGCGTAGACCTCGAAACAAGCCATAGATACATTTTCATCATTACCACATGTAAACAAAAGCTCGGACAGTGTGCACGCTTACAACATGGATAGTTCACCAGAACCGGCATCTCTTTCCATGCTAACGCACACCACTACTACAACTACCGCTACTACTACAACCACCACATCACTGGAGTACATTACTTTCACCATATCAACAAGCTCACAGCCCGCACAATTCGATATCTCTATTTCTTATGGACACAAAGGCTGGACGCGCTATCTTAAAAAGGCATCCCACAAAGTTGCTAGTTACCATAACGACTATTTTTGCGCCACGCAGCGGCTGGACCTATGGGGTGCATGTCATGTGTCCTATCAAGACTGGTACCAATACGATCTTGTTAAAATTGGAGCTACAATAAGCGGGACACTTGAATTCAGTTAAGTGGAAAAGAAAAGTAGAACGTAGAGGGAAAGAGATCATCGATGCAGTATGAAGGAACCTCTTCCGTATAGAGCCATATCCCAACAACCATCAACAAAATATACCGGCAATCGCGCAGGTATCATAGCGATGTGGTACTCGCAAAATCAATCAAAAGGCAAAGGCAGAGTGTAACATTGATTTAGCTGCGCATCACCACCCCTTCTTCATATGAACAAATTAGCGCAAACACCCCCACGCAAGCCGCCTTCCCCGAACCAAACCCAAACAGGGTCTGCATAAGTGCGCAGCACTTTCCACAAACTTGATCTAAAACACAGCACTCCTGCAGCATGCCGGAAATGATGCCGGTTATCTATCTAAGAAAAAAAACATAAATGCCGCTCTGTTCTTACGCAAGGCAGCAGAGCTTATCGGAACATTGCTCGACTCTTGTTGCTTTTTCCGCCACGTGGACGCTACGAAATGTTTCCATTTGCACTACACTCTATTGCGCCCGATGAGATTGCTGCAGTGTGGCGACAGTCCATCTCGTTATCCTCTGACACTACACAAGTCTTATATTGAAAGACGCTGTAGAGCAGCTACAGGGATGCAGGCGAACGAACAAAGCGCAAAAGACCCTAAACAAATTGAGCCAAACATAGTATTATGGCCAACGGCTTCAGTATGGCTTTGTCTAGGCCTGCACTCCGGATATCTTGTTTCACGGCAACGAACAAAGAAGTCAAGATTCTAAAAGAGAACGTTCATGTGTGTTGAGACATTGCGTCTCTTACAGATGGTTGCCTTAAAGATGGAAAGACTACGGGGAAGGAATGACAACATTGTGATATAGTAATAAGAGCGCAAAAACGTACTAAACTCAAAGCCTGGACAATAGAGATGCTCTCCAAATTGTCATCACCAGAAATACCGCCCAATATATCATGTACATGCACAGAATGCACAACATTTCTCAGGCCAAGCTTCGCCTCGAAATCCCATTTCCCACGAAACTTCTCACACTCCGTCCTCCCAGCCACCAATACTCTACCCCACGCTCAGGTGCCAACATGTATCGATAATCTATCATTAGCAGCATACGATGCACAGACTATAACGTCGGTAACAGTGCCACCAGTCGCCAAGGTTCTCAATAGGCAACACCAACTCAGTGTCATCACTTCCACAATCCATACTATGGCCAACATACGTAGCGCATTTCCGAAAACCCCAGGCACGTTCTGGTGCTCAAATCCACACTGCCGAACTCGCGTGCCGGTCGTTTTACGCTTGACTACCACAACTGGATCGCGCGCGAGGCCACTATGCGATGAACACATTGAACAATCTTTTGAGGTGGATAGATCTCGTGGCCTAGTTGGAGAATATGTAGCTTTTTCGAAGGGCACTGACATATTAGAGACCATGGATCTGTACCAGCCGTCCGGCGTGGAGAGCCGCTGGGGAAGTGATGATCGAGATGGGGCGGGAAAGCCGGAATTGGGTCCTAGGATTAGTCCTTTAGCTTCTTGGGAAAGCCTTGGGTTTTGGGAGAGTGATAATCCAGAGTTTGTATGGGATGTGAAGGCGTTTGATTCGAAGCTCTGCTGGTGAGGCTAACTTGGCCTTTTCATCGAGTTTGATAGGAATGCCGACATTCGCATAAGCAGACTGCGATAACGCTCAGGAGAATGCGCGATGATTTGAGACGTGTGTAAACTACGTGACGCAAATTATGAAAGCTTTACTGGAACCTTGGGATGGTTGAATGAAAGTAACACATGCTGAATCTCAACCTGTATAGAGGGAGACATGGTCCATAGGACTAGATTGAGAAGACACAACCCCTTCTCAGACGGGTCTGTAGCACTCCAATGTCACGCTTGGATATCGATATCAAGCAAGAAAATCGAACACGTCGTATGAGTCGTATAGTGCCTGGTTCAGCTCCGCCATCCACTGCATATGTCCAGCAACCAAGTCATCGAACAGAGAATCCGGAAGACTTAATGCTGTCGCCTCGCGTAAGTAAAGCTGCCAATGTAACTTTGGCTCATCGGCCTTGTCCATATCATCGCCAGGCGCCGTGGTCCAGCTGTCGTCTACCCCGACTGCAGCCACATCATCTCTCTTATGATCTAGCGCTGTGATCCAGACATCTTCGCTCTCGAGATGGGATATCGAAGTCTTCCTATGGCCATAGCGGCGACCCATCTGGGCGTGGGAGTGACAAGGCTGCGTGGCGTATTGTGGGGTAGCTGAGAGAGTGCTACCGGAACGGGCGTCGAAGGAGCGGTGTGCGGCTGTGCTTCTGCGAGCCGCAGAATAGCTTAGCTCACTCATTGTGATTCGCTCCCCTGGAAAGTCAAAAGCAAACGAATATGTGGAAGTGTGTCCCGAAGAGGCTCCGGAGGGCTGAATGGCTGAGTCATGCTCGTGCTCGCCTATCCACAAGCCGTATTCATTGTTGTGGTCAAACTCAACGTCAAACAACCCGAATCTACAAAGTGGGCAAGTTGTTTTGGTTTGCATCCACCTCGTAATGCAAGTGCCACCAAACACATGTCCACATGGCAGCTGAATCGGAACTTCGGCACCGTCGTCTCTGGTAGACGTGCAGTAAGCGTCAAAACATATGCAGCACCGCTGTGCATCCTCTGGATCCATGCTCACCGGCGCAGACACTTGACGTCTCTCGCTGAAAAGCCTCTGACTGGGCATGATTGAGTAGAAAGCTGAGTTTTAGTAAGGCTGCGTGATTCTTGGAGGTCCACTTGGCGTGAACACGATCATCTAGTACCAGGTACCAGAACAACAAAGGTGGGGAGGAAGTAGGACCCTGATGCCCAAGCATCGTGCGTAGGGCTTCGCATCCCATACAGAGTTTTCTCTAGACACTGTGTACCATGGTACGGTGTGTCGAGTCAGCGTACAACGCGCCGTACCTTCCGGTTGGACGTTCTCTAGGCATCGTGAACAGTGCTCTTTCTTCACTGCCATGTATCACTGTGAGTCCATTGTTTGAGATCAGCCTTACAGGCGTGGTCCATTCAGCACTCGGCAGTCACACGTGGAGATTTGCTCGCTTCCGAACCTTCGCGAAGACTAGCATCATGCAAGTGACATGTTCAGTCGTGCATGCATGACAATCACCATCGGTTTCACCGTGGACTTCATCCCCGTTGTTGTACAGTTGTGGAGTGGCCCCGCATCTCAGCCCGCCTCTAGAGACAGCCATCGTGGCAGACTCCAAGTCTGGTCGGACGTTTTTCGTCGTGGGCGCAGCGTCTAGATCCGCGGAGTGAAGTGCGCCAAGAGCTATCCAGCAGACCGCCGGGCGAGGACTCTGTCTGACTCAACTCAAGGTACCGAACGGATATCTTCAGGGTAATGGCATTGTTTGGAAGACTGTGGGGTGCCTAAAATTTCCGACTGCAAGGTTGGCAGCTAAGCTCTGATGTTTCCATGGTTCCCAGAAGACTCGAGCCAGTTGGTATGAGCGGAACCGGTAGCCATGTGAGAACACAGTATCGGTACCGGATCCTATCGACGATCCCAAACCGGTAGGGCGGATGACGAGGAAGATAGCGTCTGGCCTTGCAAAAGGCTGTGGTCTCTGTGCGCTAACTGGGATGAGTACCGTAGACCAATATTGACACCTTGACGCCAGCCTCGTGACGTGGGCTCACCGGCCGCTTTTGGGTTCGACGCTTTACCAAAAAGGCAGCAGGTGTCGACGGCCTACCGGGGCGATGTCAGGGCACTGAATATAGCTGCGTCGTAGCGTGGTTACAGGAAGTTTGGCAGATACTTCACCCTACTTCACGTTAGCACTCGTCAACGTCCAAGCATGATTCGGTGAAACGACCATGAATTACGACTCGTTGGCAAGATAAGGCTGTTGCCATGTAAGGGTGTTGTTGAGGATTTCTCGAAATCGCAGAAGCCAGCGTGCTAGCGCTATCAGAAGTGGGGCGCGCTTGTCCACTCTGGTCGAATTGGTGTTAGTGGTGCGGGAACGGTGCCTGAATACCAGCACGTTTGTGGAAATTGGCTTGACCTATCTCCCGTCCCATCCTGACTTCGCTAAAGGAGATCAGCGTGGGCAACTGACAAGGGGCCAGTTCGTGCGTTAAGCTTTAGCCTCAGTCGCTCTCCCGTCACTATTTTGGGTTGTTTATGTCCCCGGCACTCCTCCTGGACCTTTCGGTGGACGCGATCTGTGCAGCGCTTCACCACACTTGTGGCTTGCGATCGTATCATTCCTCAATGCCATCCCTTGCTCCAACCCATGCCCATCGCGATACGATACCTCTCGGGCACAACGAGTCTGCAAGCCACAAGCCAACGGAGTACAGCTGGAACTTGCATTGTTGTTCCAAAGCTCCATTCTGGTCCATCAAGCTCGACACGCTCGCCATTTTGGGCCCGATTTGGTCAAGTTGTGTGACTTCACGACCAACATGGCCAGCTGGATACGTGCCGCCAAGCGCTATCGAGCGGCTTTAGCAACAACTGCGGCTTGCAGCTAGCAATACAGGGCTCGGCTAAATCATGCCCCATGTATTCCATGATGATGTCCTGACGATGTATAAGTAAGATGTCTGTTCTCGTCAATTAATGATCTTCATCCACAGCAGCACTCAGCAAGCTTCACTGGCATCTCAACAACACTTCTCTCCGCAGTCACTATCTCCACCAAGCAACCTTCAAAATGCGTAACGTTCTTCTCGCTGCTTCCGCCCTTAGCGGCATGGCTGCTGCCCTTCCCCAGATGATCAACATCGAGGCTGCTTTGGCCGTCCCCACTCCCACTGTTCTCGGGCCCCAGGCCACAGAGACAGCTGAGCTTCCTGTCTCTTACAACCAGGATGCTGCCACCAAGTCTGCTGCTGCTGCCGTCGAGACTGGAGGTGTTGTGGTCAAGAAGCGTGACTCCTGCCAGGTCCAGCCTGAAGGGTAAGTTTGTATCCAGAACACCTTCACTTCAACCAAGTGGCTAACAATAGAAATAGTGCTGGTACCGTGCCTGGTGATGGCTCCGTGGACGCTTACCGTGCATCTGAAGGTGTGCTCAGGAAGAAGGCCCAGGACGCAACCGCCCCAGAAGGATACGTCGAGTCTTTCAAAGATGAAGCCGGTTCCACTGAACAGATTGGCTACCTGACCTACAAGACTCTGGACGAGTACGACCCTGCCCAGTGCGCCGCCTTCTGCGACAGCGAGAAGTTCTGCCTTGGCTTCAACATCTTCTTCGAGCGTGACCCTACCACAGACCCTGCCGTCGGATGCGACCAGAACCCGCCCCCAACGACCAACATCAAGTGCTCCATCTACGGATACCCCGTCGCCAAGGCGTCGGCTACCAACCAGGGCCAGTACCGTGGCGACTTCCAAGTTGTCATCACTGGTAGCAACGGTAAGCTTTCTTCCTTCTATTCACATACCTTTTGCTAATATCAGCCAAGGATACTCAAAGGCTGGCAAGGGCGAATGCAAGGGCGCCCCCACTGTCGATGACTTCAATGCTCCCGCCAATCTTCCCGCTGCCATCAACGCTCCCTACATCAAGAAGAACGGCCAGGACTATGACACCTACAATGGCATGCGTCTCTTCAACACCAACCCTTACGACCCTAGCCTCTGCGCTGCCGCTTGCGAGTCGCAGACCAAGTTCGACAAGGAGCACCTCGCCGACGCCAACGGCGATTACAAGCCTTGCAACTTCTTCACCTCTTATATCTTGACCAAGAACGGCGTTCCTCTTGGTACTTACTGCGCTCTCTACACTCAGCACTGGGATGCAAGCTACGCTGTCAACACTGGCTACTACTACGGTCAAGATGAGTACTCGGTCATCTGCGCTGCTTCTTACGACCTTACCACCCCGGACTCTGGCAACGTCAATGCTTAGATTGATTGACTTAAGTGTCGCCGGTAGTTTGATGGAGGGAAACTGCAGATATTGGCATTAGCAATATATATATCCTGAGCTCTCTTGTTGGCTTAATTTCTCAATTTAAATGATATTGCCTATCAATTCACTTCCATCTCCACTTTATGCTATGAAGTTCTCGTTGGAATGAACTGGAAAGAAATAGCTTGATCCCTTCTTCACCCTCCTTTTCATATCCAAGAGCTTTATCTGGTTTTGTCATACCGCTACCGATTGATGTTCATGCCATCCGCTCTAAGTCGTCCAAGAGCTTTAAGTCAGCAACTGGGCGCACTTACATGGACGTCTGATGTTCATTACTAAACCGTTCTGATCGTTGCCGTGTAAAGTGGCTAGCGGTAGTTGCCTAAGCGCTTCCTATTCGGGACTAGTTTCTGACACCCAACATGTCAGAATGTCAGAATGTCAGAATGTCAGAATGCATAGCCGGCTCGTCTTTTTCGTTGTATTCTTGGTCATGTTTCATCCACAATTGTCCCCGCAAGTATGGTTATTGGACTCTGTGAGGTTCATGAACTGGTCGTAAAAGATTGGGTCCTGGCTAGTGCGCAGCTTCCCGTAGTCGCCTTTTCACCATGCAGTCGACGTATCGTAAGACGGACGGTGATTGGGGGCCTGAGTAATATGGATGACGCCCAGTACAATGGGCGTATATAAAGGATCGGTCGTCGAAATCGAAATGTGTCCATCAGCGCCAGACCAAGACAAACTTTCAATAATACATAACACCGTACCTACCACACACCAGTCCCTGAATATCGTATCGATTTCTTTTTGGTCAACCTTCACATTCTTGGAGCTATAAAACATGTCCTCCCATCCCAGCGTTGTTCTTATCCCGGGCTCTTTCTGCCCGGCTAGCATGTACGATCCTCTTATAACACCACTCCGTGCCAAGGGCTACGATATTCATATACTCGAGCCACCATGCTACCCTGCCGGCTACCACGCCAGCTCCGGTACTGGTCATCCAAGTATGTACGATGACGCAAAATATATCAATGATTTTGTGACGAGACTGGCGAACGACGGAAATGAAGTCGTCGTAATCGCTCATAGCTACGGTGGTAAGTTCAAAACCTTCCGTATCGCTGTCTTCAGACGGATACATTGCTGACAAGTAACCAATCTAGGCTGCGCAGCCACGGAGAGCCTAAAAAATGTGACAAAAAAAGAGCGAGAGCAGCAAGGAAAAGCTGGAGGGGTAGTACGTATCGCGTACCTTACAGCCGCAGTACCACGTCTCGGTGAAAGCGTTGGTCAGACACTTGTAGGCGGCAAAGGCGCTCCTGTCGATGTAGACGAGGTGAGTCAATACAATTCTTCTATTGTCGTGGATATTACAGCGAGACTGACATGCTTTTTGTAGAATGGATGGATGTCACAGCCAGACCCAGCGGCTGTAGCGGCCATATGCTTCAACAATCTCACGCTAGAAGAAGGCCTTTCGTACGTTGCCAAATTCGGGAAACACTACAGTGCTTGTTTCGGGGACGCAATAACCCACCCTGGCTATAAAGACATTCCAGTGTCTTGGCTCTTCGCTGCCGAGGATCTTATCATTCTGCCGGAGGTGCAGCAGACTGCCATCGATGTTATAGAAGGAAGCTGGGTTGGTACGGAGAGAGAGGGAAGGAAGGTAGATGTTACCAGGGTTGTTTGCGACCACTTTCCGCTTGTTCTTGATGAGAAGAGGAAACAAGTGAGTGAATGGATTGAAGGTGCCGTTGCAAAAGGTGGCTGCGAATAAGGAAAGATGGCGAGCTTGAACTACAGAGTAGGACAACTGGATGTATGCACATCTCAAGGTGAGCCTGATGTCTCCCTTGATATCTTGTTTTAAATGCCGCAAGCCGGCGCAACTGTGTCCTTGAGAAACGCATCAAACTCATTTTGTGGTGTCAACGGTCCTTGGGCTGTGGAAGTACTCAATGTATTACGAAGCCAGTGTAGAAGATGGAGCCCTTCCGTCGATAATGAATATACAGGTGTCTCACACGACAAAGTAGCTAGACCATGACGCCATGCGACGACGTCTTAGGAAGCTGAAACTGCCTCACGGATTCCTACCTCCATTTGGTATGGGGCCTACATACCATTAGTATGGTGTTGCATACACATAGCAGGCTGGCTAACTTGTCGCATCCAAAGTTGTCATGCGAAGCATTCGAGCGCTGCGCAAGCAATTCTCAAGTATGATCAACGTCGTAAAATCAAAAAGCACAGAGTAGTAGGCTCGAGCTACATAGTCGCATTCATCCATTGAGCAATTACCACTTTTGGGGCTTCCTCCTAGACTGCTGCGTCGTGGACTTCCATCTACACACATGTGACACAAAGCCACCTGCTAAATGAACACATGTCTGGAGTATGCATTGTTCTGAGGCAGTAAGGCGGAGCCTGATGTTTGGACTGAGGACCAACGAGGCATGAATGTATATAACTGAAACAAGGGTCGGATGCCTTGTGGTAGGCAGGCTGCAAGACCGGCGTGTGGCTGAGCGGATTGAAGGTGTAGAAACAAGATCTGGAACTCTGCGGCATATCTTAGAAGACGCCTAGGCTCACATACATCTCCTTCGCTGTCAGTATAGCGATCCTCGTTCTGCCAACATCAGCTGACGTAAGAAGTGAATTTGTAACATAACGACGATTGGCGCGACGATGCGAGTTGCCGTTCACGAGTCCAACGTATAGCTATCGCAACATGTTCGTTCGAGACGAACGACAAAACCGCGCGCTTCAACATCCGCACCATACTGAGCAAATGATTCCGAGTTCCGTATCTCTCCAATCATTGTTAATCGTAGCAAGCAAGAGTCCAGTACGAGGGTGCCGTTTCAACACCATCTTGTAACCGATGGTGCGGCAGAAATGCGAAACAAGCCCGCATTGACAACACCACCTTGGACCACCCACCTAATTACTACACAGCCTACTCTGCCGATTTCATATAAGGAATACGCATAGTTGGATCGCTTGAAGTTGTATGACCATCGCATTGCTCAATCAATACGAATCGAACCCAAGAAAACCACTAAACATTCACGCTCTTTTCGCTTGAAAAAGGCCCCACGATCGTTACTACCTGAATCCCTGCTCGTAAATATGCGCATCACTATTGCCGTTGTTAGTGCTTTTGTAGCGACTGTTGCTATTGCGTCACCCATCACATCGCCGTCTACGCCTTTGTCACGGAGACAGGGTCCTCCAGGACCGATGGGAGTAGGGGCTGGAGTCGCTGGGGTTGGAGCCTGCCCGGTAAGTTGTCTACTGAATCTTGATCAATATATGAAAGAATATGCGCTAATGATACCGTCACAGATGAACTGCTGGAACGAAGCCGCGGTAGTGGCAGGTTGCGACCCAAATGCAGACGACGATTGTTTATGTGGACCATTTTTTGATGCTGTAACATCGTGTACAGCGGCCATGTGTAATATGGGGGAGAATCTGGGTATGTTGAGTTGGATCCTGCGAACATAAGAGCAAAGTGCTAACACTACCAACAGCTGCCTTGGATTTCTTGAATCCTGCCTGCGAATAATGAAGAGAGGAAGCGCCGCTGTCGAAAAAGACATGTATGATTATGAGTGTAATACAAGCTCGAGAATGTCCAGTAGAGATAAGTAGATGATCGGTCGTGTATCAGAGGAAAACTAGATGCACTCTCCACGCGAGAGTACTGAGAATCAATCGCCAATTCTCTCATGATTGCTAAGCATGCAAGAGTCTGAATCGACCGGAGAGCGTGCATTTGGTGAATGCTGGAAAATCTTGTCTTGAGTCCGATCATACCTATGAGGCAAAACAGCGTCTTCGAAGTGCGTATCTTGCTATTGCAACACTCTCACGATACTCTTCGAATGACGGGGAAGAGACGTAGATTTTAAGCGTGTTATACACCACATAGCCCTGCTATTGCAGACTTTTTGTGCCCTCGAAAATTGTGATCATAACCACGATTGTGGACTGAGACATGCTGACCTACTATCCATCCAAGTGCTAATGCAGCACTCTGGAAGGCCTGCATCGGAAGTGCGTGCAGATATAGTTGACAAACAATCATCTGTAAGCGCTGTCGAGCTCCACCGAGATAACGGTTCGAGGTATTTCTCAAGGCTACGCAGCACAGCGTCGTTGCGTTGTATCGCGAGTTCCGAAAGAACTTCATGTTTCTCCTTTGAGTCTCCACAAACGGAAAGCCTTCCTCCAACCTTTTCCAATCAGGTCCTAGCCATCGTCGCAATCTTCAACCCCACAGTTCCTCTATCAACCTTGCTTTCAGCCACCGGAACTTCAATTTCGCGCAACACATGTTGCGGCTCGAGCTGCTTGGAGACGAGATCGCCGAGCCAGATGCAACGCCGTTACTGACCCCACAGACCCTGACAGTCCAGCACGTGGGTACATTTGAGCCGCAAAATCAATACAGGACCCATGTATCAGTTTCTCAGCGCTACCATTCTGGGGTAAGTCTGTGTCCAAGGGGTTGAATCCAGCGCGGTACATGTCGCGTAGTATTGACCCGTACGATCATTGGTGGCGTGGTACTTCGCCCGAGGTATCGGTCAGATTCCTATTTTTTCCGGATTCTCTCAACAACAAAGAAAAAGGGACCAAAATTCTTCCGCGTTAGGACCCGCGGTATCTCGGACCGGCATAATTACGCGTCTTGACTTGCCTGGGGGAAGATACTCGCTTGCATGGCTGGAAAGCTGGAGAGGTCCGGGACCACCTATATGCAGCGTGGGGGTCAGTTTCACATGTCGGAGGACTGTGATCTGCTGGAGATCGTGTTGAGCTCCGAGGTGGTGATAAATATGCGGGTGATGGGGATTTGACAACATGCAGGTACCATAACAATGTGCAGTGTCTTAATCTCTACGCTCTACAAAGTCCTAGCATTAGATTGCTTGGGTAGCAACGAGCGCTATTGTCATGTCACTGTCTGACCACTGACATGTCGTCCAGAAATACTTTGGTACATTGCCCCACCTCAATCAAGTCCAAGGAGTAGTTACTTGCCCATATGTATACAAGGAACACGTGCAAGCTATCCGACTTGCTGCCGCTCTTTCGGGCATTTGCTATATTGGTCGGGTAAATACAGATCTAGATTAAAGCTGTATATGTAGTGCTGCGCGTTAATGCGCCAGAGAAATCCGCTGTCGAGATAAGAGAAAGCATGGTACTGCGAGCTAGTCGACTATATGCTGTAGGATGCACAGGCGATGCGCGGTCGCTTGGAGAAGTGCTGCACTACGGTGACGCGCACGAGGTAGACTTTGGTGACAGGTGTCAAGCTGTTGCCTTGCCTGTTGTCCAGAACATGTGAAAGTTGTGTTGCGTCATCATGAAGTCATACTAAGACTCGCGATCGTGACATCTAGCGCTATTTGAGGTTGTGATGGATGTAGTGTCTCTTTGTACGGCTTGGTGTCGGTAGACACGGCTGTTACGGGCCTACGGATCCGCGCTTTGCAAGATAGTGATATCCAGGTGTCGAGAACGCTCCGCAACGACAGACCACGCAAGAGCCGTCCATCGCCGTGTTGGAGACGCATCTTCAACTTATGTGTGACACCATTGGATAGTCCACGAACCAGCGGTCAAAGCTGCAAGGCATCTGTGCATCGCCCTTGCGCAGGGCCTCGGGAGCAATCTATATTGCCGTCTGGACAGAACTGATCTGCGAAATAAAGTGCTTGCGCGGACCTGGTTGCGGTCGCTTATGCACATTACCAGCAGCCCGGTACGGCGGAGTGTTGGATTTAAATGAGAGAGCATTGTGCTAGATTCTGCATCTCGTATGCTGTGCAACTGCGGGGACCTCAACAGATACTCTGGAAACCATATTCTAGACACTTGACAGTGATTGTGTCCCTGCATGGGCGGAGGTGGAGTCAGAAGGGGAAATGTGCTGCAGCGAACGTGCGACGAACATTCGATGCCAGCGGTTAACGCAACGCAAGGACGGATGGCATCGGCGCGCGAGACCGAGGCTGAAACTTCCCCTGCGAAGATTCGATATCGAGAGAACTATTTGGAAGAATGGTTCAATTAGTTAGGTCTTTCCTTTGAGCCGCATCGGATCGGAGAGAATGCCGACTGCGACAATGCTAGTCATGGTAAGCCTCCGACAGCGTGAGACGGTGCTCTCACGATAGGCGGAAACACCGCCGTTTCAGGAAGCATATACGCTGATCGAGATGTGGAGAAAAGGGTCCCCCCACAGTCCACGACGCTGTATCCTTTCCTGTGACTGGTGCAATTTCTACCGGCAAAACTTCGTTCCTCGACGCAAGTACCATTCTGGTGATCCGCGCCTCTCAGAGAGACCATGTACGTGACTCGCATGTCGCCAGCCTTATCCGCCGCGATTTCCTGCTCAGGCAGGTCCGCAGTCGCCAGTGTGGAGACCCCGCAAGTAAGCGATTCTAGGATAGAGGATGGATTCACGGCCTGGATGGGCGGCTCTAGAAGCTCGCTAGACGTCCTTTGCTTTGTGGTCCCGAGTCAGCAAGCAAGGGGCGGGAAGGCTTGGTAGGATTTGGTATTTGTCCCGCCGGCTCTGTTATCTGGGGTGAATAGACGACTACCCTCGGAACCGGTTGCTGCTAATGTCGGCGGCTGACATGGAAATGTGCCCCGTCAGCTGAGACGCACATGTGGGACGGAAGTATACTCTCCCCTTTGTCCTGCGTTATCTTTGCTTTTTTGGGGCCGACGAGAACAGGGGCGGATCTATCTGCCAAGTGGATTATTGGGGAAAAGGCGCGCGAGCTAAGAGGCCACGATGTTCAGGTACGTGAGCAGATTGGCGTAACATTCGTTCTAGGTAGCCCACGGCGGAACTACGCTGATAAGTCGTGGCATGTGCCGCAGTCGCATAGCGATTCTGGAGCTGTTTGTCAACCTCTTCCCATATCATAGTCTCGCTTTTTGGTTGTGGAACGACGGCCTTCTGCATCATGTCGGTCCGGTGGTAAATCCTTTGTTGGTTTCTAGCAGGATTGATGGCATACACATACGTATGTATCTTCGCTGCGCATCCGCCGGCCCGACATTGATCAAACGCCGCAATATCTAGCGTCTAGCCAGCGGAGAAGATCCCGCCAGACCTGCCGATTCGCACATTCAAGATTCCAAGATCGTCATCGCTGTGGAGTAATGACGGCGCTGCTGCGCTCCAGTCCGGGGTACATGCCCAGGTGTACCAGAGGTGATCGTCTCAATCAACCGGCGGGAAATATTTGCAGCGAGCGAAGATAGGCTGTGAGAGTTTGGCGCTTGCAAATCCGAGACAAGCAGTCTGACGAGTCGCTTGGAAGTCCGTCGAATCGCATAGTTTCACAAGCAAGCGCGGCGTCTGCCGATGGACAAGTGCGATTCGTGCTTTGGTGAGGACAGGAGATAAGCCAGCACGATTCGATAGATCCCCGCAAGGATACCAGACAGCCAAAGGATCTCGGAAATTGGCAACGTTGTCGGTTCTGTCCATTTAGAACCAAGGCGCCTTCCGGTTTCGGACTCTGACCATGGAGCATTGGAAGCGCCACTTTTTATTGCGTGTGCCACGCACTCCACAGTCTGACTCCTTCCCTGCTGCCCTGTTCCGTGCTCTCCGCAAAAAAAAAACTTTCAGGGCTCTTGTGTCGTCACTCTGCTAGCGCCAGTGCCGCAAGGTGTGCCATAATTGTCATGGGCTGGAGCTTATCGCACGCAATGCGGAAAAGGACAATAATAGCTGCTAGTTGCTCACACGAGATGAGTGATCAAATGAAACATGTCTGAACGTCGTTGATGTGGGCGGGTTTCCTCTGCTCTCACCGCATCTTCACTCTTCCTCCTCCGGGGTAAGGCACCCCGCGTGAAGGAAGATCGCGTTTGGAACAGAGTGTGGTAGTACCAGACAACGGAATGTGGGGAAACATGATTTCTTTGGTTGTGTGATACTCGTCTGATCCGTATCGTAAGATTTATTTGTTGGCCTACCAGGGGATCGACGAAACTTGTCTGTGGGGAAGATTGAGCGTGGTGGTTGGTCGTAGCGTGGAGAGAGATCAGGTAGATAGGCTACAGAATCCCAGCCTTCCGGGTTGATGCAAGTATACCCTGCTGATGATTCTCGTTGCTTGCATCACAAGGGTGCTAAATCACGTCACGCATAGCGACGCACTTTACCATAACATAACCATCTCGTAATCGCGTTTTGGTACAAGCGTGGGTGTGAAATAAGTGTGGATTGGGGTCTGCAATTAAGCGCTAAGCTGAGTGTATGCTGTCTAATCTTCTCTGCACTGCCAATAAGCAGGCGCTTCCCTCGCGACAGCCTGGCCAACAAAACAGGGCTGAGTGGAACATATACAAGATTGCGAGCCGCCAGATGCGGCTTCGCGGGGTATTGGATCCGACAAAACAGTAAGAAAGGTCTATCTGGGTGGTGGGGCCCGCAATGTAACAGGGAATCGTGATATGCCGCAAGCATTACCCCTCATGAAAGTTTGTCCATATCTAATCTCATCGCTTGCTAACGTGAATGACGAAATGCAAAAATGCTGACAGAGAACGCCGGTGCCATGCTAGTTGAGTGGAGTTGAAAGTTTTAGTTGCGATGTGACAGGTCCTCGCCGGCTAACGAAGCGGTGGCCGAGGAGTTGCCGGAAGAAAACCCGCCATTACTCGGGCCATTGAGGAGATCCTGGACAGCGACCTTGGGAACTTGCGGAACCGGCAGTTTGCGCTGAGCGCCCTCTGGTTTTGAGATGATGTCCCCTATGCGCAATCCGGAGGACTGGCTGGGTACATAGGGCTGTTCCCGATCTGTAGATGGCTCCATTGGTGCGAGAGCTGGTACGAAATTCTGATTCAGACTCAGATGACGTAGATGGGGAAGTTGGAGATCGTTGAATCCGTGGGGACGTAATCTTGGTGAGTGAGCAGGGGTTGCGAGCGGGGTGTGGTCAGGAGTCGGACTGCAGGAATCGTGGGAAAATGTTGGCGACGGCGGGGCAGTCGATGTCGGCGAGCCTGGTCTTGACTTCTTTGTCATCCTGTGCGAGTACGGATCGTCGTCCTCGTGTGAATGAGATCTTGACATTGGCTGCGACGAGTACGCATACTGGGAGAGACCTGGTAGTCGGCTCGCGTATGGATGATAGCCGCTGGTGATGTGGTGTCGACTTGAGTGCGAGTAGTGACCAGGACGCTGCTCTAGTCTCGAGGCTGCGTCTGCGAGCAGATCCATGGGGCGTGACAGGCCGCTAGGGCTATTGCTGTTACTGCTGTTGAAGCCTCCCTGGTGGTAGGCTGCAAGATCATTGCCCATGTTCGGCGAGTAGTTGGAGAACGAGTGGGGTGGCGACACATTTGGTGAGCCAAGCTGAGAGCCCGGCGCGCTGCGAGAGATGGGCTTTGAAGGAGGAGGCATCATGTGCGCAAGGCCAGATCCGGGCTCCATCAGACCAGCCTGAACAGCAGCTACAGCCGCCTGGTGAGCGGCAGCATGTTGTTGACCCTTGCCCCTACGGGAGTTGGGGTTGTTGTGTATCCTCGAGTGTCTGTGTCCAATTAGCTAAAAAAGAATTCATCGATAGTTTGGGTGCGACTTACCGAGTGAGTTCATCAGAGCGAGAAAATCGTTTTGTGCAGCCTGGGAATGTGCAGGCATGGGGCTTCTCTCCAGTGTGGGTGCGGATATGGCGAGTCTGGTGTTCCAGACGGTGGAAAGCCTTATCGCAAAGAGGGCACTTGTAGGGCCTGGGGAGATCCTGGCGAGGCTCGTCCGACTGTTGCGGGGCGTTTTGCAGCAGAGGCGCCATGAGGCTCACGGTAGCAGTAGCCATGGAGGTTGGTTGGGAGGCCGAAGTTTGTTGCTGTTGTTGGAGTTGTGAAGAAGTGTCGGGGTTCAGCAGGTTGGCGAAACCTGTCGAGGCAGAGTTGGATTGCATGTGACCGAGGGTGAAAGTTGGGGGAAGGCGGATGATGGGGGGCTCGGATATATGTATGGATCAACTAGGCGGGCGTGTGGGGGTCGACTGATGGCCGTCAGGGCTGTCTGTGCTGACGCGGGCGAGGATATGCCGGAGCAAGCGCAGAAAGAAACGCGGTGCGCCAGTGCGGCTTGGCTTCCTTCGGGGGGCGCTCGAGTCGTGGAGACGTATCAAGAATTGCGGGTCCTCGAACGCTTGCGTGATGACTTGCGGAGAGGAGCGTGCAGCGGGTGCAGGGAGTTGCTGGAGCGAGACTCGAGTGCGTCGGAGGCCTTTTTGGGCGAGAGCGGGTGAGATGGGGGATGGGAGGTGATGGCGCAGTACCTAGCGGAACTTGCCTTGGGCCGACGCTGGTTTTGATGGCTCAGTCCCTGGTGGAGCGGCGATACTTGGTTGAGCGCACGATGCAATTTGCAATCGTGAGAATTCTGCAGCTGAAATTTTGCAGCGGTGAGTGTCGGCGAGAGGTTGCAGGTGGCTACGTGAGGCTGTGTGGACTGAGGGTACAGCGTGTATGAACAGCAGACCGGGGCCCCCAAACACGCCTGGGGGGTAGCAACAATCCAAGTGGGCGTACGTGAGCAGAGTGAGGCAGCCGGGCGGCACGTCAGATGGTGCTACGTCGCTGCGGAGAGTGTGGGTGGGCTATGCTATGCTATGCGGTGCGAGCGATTGACGCCGCGAAGCTGGGGGAGACTGATAAGGAGACGGCGGGCTTTGTATGGGGTGCTGGAGACGTCACACATCTGGGGTTTGTTTGTGCTCCCGCGTCTCATCGACGCCCTCTCCTCAGCTGCCATAGGTGCGGCTTCCCCTCGTGGTCCTGCCTCCTCCGTTGCTGCCCTCTCGGCGCACACGGCGTGAGACGAGCCAGAGAGATGCCTACACTACAACACCACGTATAAGCTGCGGGACCACCACTGCTGCCAATTCACCCACCCTCAGGGGTCCGCGCATGCACGCCCCCAAAGCCCGACGATGCACTGAGACATGTCTGCACTCACATCATCCCAGCTGCTGTCGACTTGTGCTGAGCGCTTCCGCACATCTCCTCCACCCATTGGCCTTGTCAAATGACCAATAATGCCCTCCAATACACTCCCCGATTTACCCACTGGCTTTGCTCGCGTTCCACCGCAGCCTGGGGGCTGATCGAGCACACTTTCATGCCTGTGGGGGATCACTTCCTGGGGTACCGCAGGCACAGCACGCAATATTGAGCCACCGTCTCCGACCCCCAAGACCCCTCGCTCCAGTGCCTCACACAGCATCGCAATATCTCTCGCATCATCTACCAGCACATGCTTGGAGGGGTCCGT